CTGGCGCCCCACGCTCCTTCCGAGATAGTGTTGGCACTGATCCAGTTGGCGTCTAGGTTCGCTACTGTGCTCATCCAGTCTTCGATGGTGAGTAGTTCCTTTCCGGTGAGTGCCCCGCGAAGGAGGGGTGGCCGGATAGCCTTTTGATAAACCATGATCATGGCTTCGTTGTTGATGCCGCTTTTCCCAGCATCTAGCATGAACCTTGAGTTAAATGCTACTGCATTTTCTCCTTGTTCCATCTTCATTTTCATCAAGGCGGCCGAGGCCGTTCCTTTGATGTTTGCCGTTCTGAAACTGGCTGTGAAGGTTTTCATGAAGTCTGCCCATGTGGGGTAGGCATTCTTCTCTTTGTATTCGGTCATCTTGGCTTCGCTCCATGAGGCGGTGTTGCCGTCCTTTGTGTAGCTGAGGGCCACATATACCTTTTTCTTGTCGGAGTTGTAGATGGTGTCGTTGATATCAAAGTGTAGATCGGTGGACGATATCCACCTTTGGGCTTTATCTGGGGTTCCATCGAAGTCATTGATTTTCCCGATCATCGTGGGTTTAGGGGCTGCAGCGTTAGACATGGTGTGTGGTGGTGGGATGTGGGATGGAGCAGGTGCAGCGGGAAGTATCTGTGGAGTGGGAGGTGGTATCGGGTCGCCGCTTGCTGCAAACTCTTCAAAGTTGTTCTCGTCGTAGAGGTTTTCTACGGTTACTGGGGGATCGTGTTGTGTTGTGGGCAGTAGCTGTGGGTGGCTTCCTGCGTAGTACTGTAGCCAACGTGTTCTGGCTTCATAGAAAGTGTTTGCTTGTTCTCTGGTGTGGAGTCGGGTTACGTCTGGTTGGGGAAAGGGAGGTGGTGCTGCTATCCTTTCTTGTCGGGATGACGTCGGTGGGGTTGCTGTTTGTGGGTTGTCTGAGCTTCCTCTTGCTCTCTGGGATCTGGTTGTTGGTCGTTGCGACGTCTTGTTGACTTTTTCTTCCCAAACCTAAATAGGTGGGACTTCTGGTTAGAACACAATTCTTTTGTTACGCACGAAGTGCTTAACAAAGTCTGAGGGTTCGTCGAGGTTTATAAAGAGACTTATCTGAAGACAAGTTCAAGAACGTAGTTCTGAGTGGAGGTCTTCCAACGAGAGTTGGTCTTCTTCTGAGTAGAAGTCTGATCTTAGGAGTTTAGCTTTGTAAGTGTAAACTGCGTAGAATTGTATTGGAGTATACTACTGCTGTTACATGGTATTTTATAATGGAAAGGAATCGGTGATAGGAGTTAGGTCCTATCTAGGGCAGGTCCGTCCGTTGAGGACTAAGTACTATAATAGGTACTGCGAATGTGAGAGGAACGGAGGTATACGTGAAGGAAATGAGTCATCGGTCCGATGATATAACCGATGAGTAAAAAGAAATGAGTAGTCCTTAAATGTCCAATAGAGATCGTAACACAATGTGGCTACGATTTTCACTACAATTGTTGAATGTTCTTATAAGGGTGAGAATTCTTCAGTTTGGCTACAATTTTCACTGCGTTCACTACTACTGCACTGCTGCTCCTGTGTTGCCACCAAAACCACGCGAGCAAAACTAAGCAAAATAACCGACGCAACATGGCTCACACACGGCGTTTGGGACCACTGTCCCCTTCATTATAGACGAGGTCCAGCCCGTGGCTCTGATTCTATGTTGCATGTTTGACTTGCTGTTCTGTTGTTGAATGTCCTTATAAGCCTGCCCTAAACATGTGCACAGTATACTGAATTCAAGCAGATGGTTCATTGAATCTTTACAAACATCAACATATATTGTAATGTAAAAAGTCTATGGTATTACATTGATAAATTGTTGAGAAATAAAAAAACAGACTCCAGAAATAGTAAAGGATGATAATATGATCTGATATCAAAACACTTTAGTAAAAAGAGCGAGAATTGGGGATAAATCTACTTGCCAGTCACAGATAAAGCCAGTCATAATTTTGGGATACACCACATTGACAGTACATCTGTCATTTGAACCATGTGGAAATAGCACTTTTATTCTCTCTCCTCTCTCCTGAAGTGCAGCAAGACAATGCAACGTAAAATTGCCCATGTAAAAACACTGGAACACATAAATCCAGCCCAACCTGTGTCACTGATTGACCTTGAGACTTGTTGATGGTCATGGCAAAGGCAATGCGGACAGGGAATTGACAACGTGATAGCTTGATGGGCAATTCTTCTGATGAAGATTCCAATTTGAGGCGTGGAATAAAAGCTATCTTTCCTGCATGTTTTCCTCCCAAGACACAGCACTTCAATACTCTTCTCTTCATCTCTATCAAAACCATGCGTGTTCCATTACAGAGTCCATTTAGGGGATCAATATTGCGGAGGAGCATAAGTGGACATCCAGCTTTAAGTCTGAGGTGCACTTCAAGAAGGCCAGATACTTGCAAGGAGTTCAAGAATTTCCACAGGATAATGTTCATGCCCCTCTCCAACCACTTTATCAATTGACAGAGCTACTAACTCTTTTCCAGGGAATTTTGTGAGGATTGCTGAATTAAGGTCGCTAAGGGCATCATTTTTGCAGAGAGGATGGTGCGGTGGAGGAAATAATGGTCATCTTGGTCTCCATTTGCAATTCCAGGATAGGTAGTGTCGACTAATGAGTTTATGGTGTTTTCTGGCATAAGCATGTTGGCAGGAAGCTCAATAGTTCCATCTCCTGCAATTCCACGACCACCACCAACATCCAGGAGCCAGCTAGCAAAGGCTTCACTTTCTGGAGTAGGGTCTAGGCGCATGTTCTGTGTGAGATAGCAGATATGGATATTTGTCCACAGTTGTGACCTTCTAAGAGAGGCAGAAATAATGTGTTGCCTTGACCCTCTTGGAACTACAGGTGTTGTTTGGCGGAAGTCCCCTCCAAAGACCATTATAATGCCTCCAAATGGAAGCTGATTATCGAAAATGTCCGGCAATGTACAATCCAATGCTTCAACCCCATGACAGTGTTGCATTGGTGCTTTATCCCAGACTATAACTCCAGGATGTCTCAATATCCCATGGAGGTCAGAGTTTTTTGGAATCCTGCATGTGGATGTTTCATGTACAGGAATAGGGATTCCAAAGTGTGAATGAGCTGTGCAGCCACCCTCCAAGAGCAGGGATTCAATCTCAGAGGATGCTACACATAGAGCAACATTATGATTATATCTTGCTCAAGCAGCAGCGGCAATTTTATTACAAAGATATGTTTTTCTCTTACCTTCAACACTGTGAATAAAGCAAGTTATTCCCCAATTATGATAGATTGACTGTATAATGGTATCAAAAGCATTCCGCTGCTCTTGACTGAGCTACTCCACACTATCTTTTGAGTAATAATAATATAGTTAAGTGATTAAATTATATTTAGTCAGAAGTCAGTGAACTTGTGCTGCTGTCCTTATAAACGTGAGAATCTCAATGTGGCTACAATTTTCACTGCATTCACTACTACTGTACTGCTGCTCCTGTGTTGCCACAAAAACCATGTGAGCAAAACTAAGCGAAATAACCGACGCAATGTGGCTTACACGTGGCATTTGGGACTACTGTCCCCTTTGTTATAGACAAGTTGCACTCGTCGCAGCTTTGCTGCAACTGTCAGGTGCCTCTGGCACCTTCCACACCCGTGGTGCCACAAAAAACCACGCAAGCGAAACTAAGCAAAAAAATGTGCTCCCACGTGACTTTTGGGACCACCGTCCCCTTCGTTATAGATACCACAGCCTCTGGCATACCTGGCCCATGGTTACCAATGAATCCTTTGATGATGTACAACTTAGCATGAAGATGAATTTCTGCAGATACAAAGAATAGGTGAAGTATTCGAATACAAAGAACTCAGTGGTTTTGTGTGAGAATGTAAGGCCATATCATGCTGAAGTCTCCATTGCATTTGAAAACATCTAAACACCAGATGATTGTCTGTCGTTCTGGTTCACTTCTCCTTCTGTATTCCTTTGAGGTGTTTTTGGGCGATATTTTGAAAATTGAACATCGCTGGTCAAAAGTTGAACACATTGTTTCTGCACATTCAATAGCCATATGGCATGTGTGTTGCTCTGGTGAAACACCCTGAACATCGTCTCCATCTGCTACATTGATAATTTGGAACCCTCAAGCACAATATTTGGCAAGACAAGCAACAATGCGTGTTGGATGCGGACCTAAAGGGGAAACTACCATAGGGTTCAAAAGTATTCTGTATTGGGATGTGATAATTGGATATGCTGAAAAGAAAGAGTCAGCAGAGACGTAATTCATGACCACTGTTAAATGGAATCGAAAAAATTGATGTTACTGCACAAGGAGAGCCTGCCAGCTGGTATTTCATAGGGACATGATAATCCACCTCGACACTGGCTGCAAAAGTTTGACTAAGCGTACATCCTTGTCATTCTGTAGGTCTCGAACCTTTATCAATACGACTGCTCCTTCCATCAATGCACGAAGAACAAGGCAAGGGGGAAAACACACCAAACATAACAGACTTTTGTCACACCCAAAATTGATGAAAAAGTCTGGAAGTAGTTAAAATATTTGATTGTATTTTTGGACCTACAATATTTTGTCAGATGAATGTAATTTTATTGACATAATTTTATATTTCCACACAAAACATAGTATCAATGGAAATATGTCAATATAATTACATTATTCTGACAAAATCTTGTAGGTCCAAAAATACAATCAAATATTTTAACTACTTCCAGACTTTTTCATCAATTTTGGGTGTGACAAAAGTTAGTTATGCTTCGTGTGGAACGACATAATGGTGGTACAGTTGTAGAATACAGACCGAATTTAGGGGGAGAAAAACGCCAATAAGATAGCATCAACATCACGTGATTTAAGCCGGGCCGGAGAACCCTGCAAAAACGGGCGGGACACTTTTCCTCAGCCATACCTGTCCCAATTCTGGGCCAAGAATAGCCACGTGACCACGGACAACTCCGCCACAGCGGTGGACCAGTGGAATCTCTTCATCTCACTCTCGATTTCACTGGAAAAAAAGATTACAATGTCCGTAGCAACGTTCGTATCGTTCATTTCATGAGCATTGGAGTGCACTAACCGACCATGGCAATATAACCAGGCAGCCGAAAACGTCTTGGGCAGATGATGTCGACGAACTAGGTACGACTTCGATCTTCTATCATCGTCCATGTCCTGCAGTATTCGAGTTTAAGCCAAGCTTAGTGTTCTTCGTTCGCATTTCATTATAGACCAACAGAAGCCTGAAGACTACATTGATGAGAATGGAATTCGTGTGACGATAGAGTATGCAATCAATGACGATGGGAAAAAAGTCAAGGTACGACGATTTTCACTGTGATCATCCCGAACGAATCCATGCCTATCCTTCCCCATTACGACGCCTTGGATGTATAGATCACGCGGAAGATCAAACGCACACTTCAAAAGTCTGTTGTTGAACACAATGTAGCCGAACGCAAGAAGTGGGCAAAGTTTGGAAAGGAGAGAGGAAACAGTCCAGGACCCGATCGTGGTACGACTACAGTAGGAGAAAATGTGGCTCTTAAACTAAGCGCAGGGAACAAGGTACCGTCGACTATCCCTAGTCGTTACTCCTGTCTAACTTTTCGAGCCTTTAGTCGACTGAGCCTGAACAAACAGCTGAACAATCCCTCAAAAACGAGCTTGCCAAAGCCGGCGCTGGCAAGGTTGTCTGTCGTCTTTGCAAGGGCGACCATTTCACTGCGAAATGTCCTTACAAGGATTCCCTTGCTGGACTCGAGTCTGCAGGTCAGTCTTTTTCTTTTTTTTTTAATCATATTCATGCGACAGCGCTTATGTTACGTCAGATGCTCTCCCTCCTGATGATGGAGTATCTGCTGAAAACCCTGCTGCCGCCTCGGGTTCTACTGGTGGAAAGTACGTCCCACCCTCTATGCGCAGTGGGCGGGGTCCTGGCGAGTCGATGGGTCGGGCTGGCGGAACCGGATCCCGCGACGATTTGCCAACTCTTCGCGTCACCAACATCTCAGAGGACACTCAAGAAAATGATTTGCGTGAGCTGTTTGGTGGGTTTGGGCGTGTCGCCCGTGTATATGTAGGTCGGGACAGGGAGACTGGCGCTGGCAAAGGCTTTGCTTTTGTTAGTTTCGAGGATCGAGCTGTGGCACAGAAGGCGATGGAGAAGGTACATGGCAAAGGCTATGATAATTTGATTCTGAGCGTACAGTGGTCACGTAAGTAACGCATGTATGGAGTACTACCGTATCACTAATAAACTCCCACAGAACCTAGGCCAGATGGACGATAAATAAAAACGACATATTAGCACCTCTCGTTTTTGTCTATTGTCGCACGTCTGAGTTTTCCACGATATATAAAGATAAACATTTTCTGTTATTATTTTGATGTTTTTGTCTTAGTTTGACATTCTTAAGCGAGAGGAACTCGATCATGACACTGACGGCTTGATGGCTACAATTGAAGCGTGTGCAATTCACTACAGCACTGTACATTGGGTTTGATGATATACACTACAAAGCCTATATCCCATTACGGACAGGTATCACTGGCAGATTATTTTCGTCCAGCTTTCTTCGCTGCCGTTCTAGCTCTTGTTATTTGCTTCTTCCATCCAAAACATTGAGTGCATTCTACAGGATACCTGATCAGTACGCGTTATCATAACTAACGTTCATATTTACCTGCAGATCCGTGCTTCTTGCATTGGTATACACCATCTTTGGTAGTGGTCACAGGGGGTGCTTCCAGACCATCACGGTTGATGGGGTCGTACTGCAAAGAGCATAATTGTCAAGGGATGGTCACGCATTCCATGAGACAGGAATACCCACCCCAAAGAAAGCGTCGTTCTCCTCTCGCCCATCATACTGACAATCGGCGCACTAAATACATGAATGAGCGGAGTAATATAGGGACGACCTCGAAGAAATACGTACCACTTCCTTGAAGTGTTGGCAGAAGATGGCATCGTTGATTTCAATGGTGGAGACTGATGGTTGCACTTCTGCCATATTTGGATGAGTGGAGGGGATGTAGAGAGAGGTATATATGTGAGTGACGATGGGAGGGATGAGAATGAGGTGGAACTATCCGGACGGATTATATAGGGCTCATGTGGGCGTAACAGAGTTACCCCAAAGCGGGGTAAAGGAGCAGGGTCCAATTTGGGGCCATTCATTGATAGAAGTTCTCATAATGATATACGCTCACATTCGGATTTGCATGTCATATCTGTTTAGTTGGAAGGAGCAGACACCTGCTCTGTGAAGACATCACAGCTCTAGAAAACATGGTTCAGTGAAAACATAAGGCAGTATGCAGGAAATACAGGCTAGCTCCCTGGCGAGACCCTACGAGCACCTGACCTGGATGAGCACTCAGGAGAGGGCATATGACCTCATTTCGTGGCGTGAGTGATTGCGTTATATTGATTGCTGTGTGGTCGTGTTTTCCCTGTTGCAAAGCACGTGAGCATACGCGGTCGTTGGACAAACACGCGCTCAGGTTGACTTCATCGATCACAACGCGACACGCAGAGAAATCCACCAAACGGACATTGTAAGGTAGCCCAGAATGCCAAAGGACCTTCCTCCTGAACTATGGTCTTACATATTTGATCTTGCTGCGGACGAAGATGTCATTTTTTATCCTGGGTTGCCGACGACAATGGCTCAGTCAACATGGTTTAAACCACCCTGGAAAGATGATTGGCAGCTAAGGACTCCGCAAGATGCTATCAACATGATACAAAGAAGAAGTTATGCCACAAAGAAGGTGAATCCTTTTAAATGACGCTTCACAGATTCTCTGAAACTAACCCGTCAAAAGACTGTTATTGCCACTTGCAGAGGATGGAGGCGCTTAGGAACGGAGTTCCTTGTACGCTGCCTTTTCTTTGACAATCCAACCAAGCTACGTGACTTGTGCGCCATCTTTGACCGCGATCCTGGTTTGGGATGGTGGGCAAGGCGGATACACATCACTCACTTTTCCAATGGTCGAGGACCTAAGATCGATGACTTTGAGAATCCCCTCATATCGATTCTCCATCACTGTCCCAACCTGGAAATCTTTATCGTCGACTGGCCAATGGCCAGTTCATTTGGTCCTATAGCCGAAACTCTCGGTGCTTACTGCACCAAACTACGCACGGTACATTGGCATGTCCCGTCTGAAACTCTGCCCAAAGTCATCTGGGCACTAGATTCTCTCCCTAGCCTTGTTTCGGTCCACATAGAGTTCGACGCTCCTACAGTGGACTCGGACACGATCACCCTCGGAGCCGCATCCAACGTTCGGCTCAACCTCGTCAACCTCCACCAGCTGTCACTACGCGGCTTCTGCCAAGAATTCCTCGAACAGGCAACAGGCTGGAACTTCCCCGGACTACGCAGTTTTTCTTTCGACTTTGGTTCAAATAGACATGATCTTCCAGACCTTGTTTCATTCTTAGCCCATCACGGCACTCAGCTCCTCCTGCTCGATCTAGATTGCATACCACCACTCGATGTCTGCACTATCCTCGATATGTGTCCTCTTCTTGTAGTCTTTTCGTTCAATCCAGATTGGAAATTGCCCTCCATGAACGGCAATGACACTTTGACTAACGCTAATTCAGAAGATGATTTCAGTCAACCAGTGGCGATCGTTAACCGCCCTCACGAGCACATCAAACATATCGGCTTACACGGACTCCTGTATGCGTTTGGCGTAGGGTATGCGGCAGAATATGCGTCTGTCGATCCTCTGCGCACGATGATGATTCGGCGAGCGAACGATCGCAACTTTGACGCTTTGGTAAAGGCAAACTTTCCGAGCCTACGTTGCGTACGCGTACTGAGTCCTACCGTGCTGTTGGACTTGGATGCTGCGGACGGACCTGACGTTCTATGCTTCGAAAGGTGGGAGAGATGGTGGAATATGTGCAATCACATGGGTGTTAGACTGGAGGATTGCACAGGTGCACAATTGGGAATCCTACCTCAAGACGAGGAGGATGAAGAAGAAGAGGTGGAAGAGGAAGAGGAACGATGGGATGACGATGAAACCGAATGCGAATATAAAAACGATACGGGTGGAGGTGTCAGTGTAACAGAGTTGAGACAGCTCTTGGACGAATGTAGGAAGATGTCCGCCGAAAGAGATAACCCCACCTTTGAATTTACTTTTCATTAGTCACAAGTGATCAATTTATGTTTTCAACTGTTATTCTATCTTTTGTAATATATACCTCCTTGTATATTTATGATATTGCACTGTTGATAAATACCGATGGTACAGCGCACAATATTCTATTTATCAATGTTCTCCTGCTTTTCCTTCTGGCTTCCGGGTTTTGAACAGTCCCTTTTGTCGTACATTGTTAATGATATCATGGGTGCGTTGAAGTGTTCGTCTGTCTTGATCTTCTCCCATCGTTATCCTCGTTCGACCTAGCAATCAAGTAAGATCAGTTACATTGCAAGTGCCTCTACGCATGCCAGTGCAGGTACCTATTATCGCCCAATTCCTCGTACTCGGTATCCTCAGTGTCTCACACTCAATTTTCCATCCACACCATTGACTGAGCCGCGCAAGCCAAATTCTGTACATGGAGTACGAACTTGCATTGCTTCCATCGCCTCCCAGATTGAGCCTATCTATGAAATCAGCATCCGATAGCCCACCTTTGGGATCAGTATATTCTGTTGGGGCGGACCGAGTGTAGCGTGAATCAAAAGACCATGCACAGCATGGGATGGAGAGGTATCCGGATGATTGTGTTAGGGTGGCGAGCACCGGAAGCCATGGAGTAAGCTCGTCGGCGTGGTTCCCAATGATGAATGCACCATGTTTAAGATAGGGATCCATGTTCATGCCCAGATCATCAGCGTCAGGGGTAGCTGAGAGGGTCGTCGGATCAAGGGCATGGACGTGTAACGAATCTGATGTATCCTTTGGATAGTGTTCCCAAGACATGCGCGCGCGGACATCAATTCCGTTCCCTTGGTATCCTTCTGAAATAAGGATGTGCGTAAGGAGACCGTTTCCGCACCTTTGAATTTTGTTAAGGTAGAAAAGCTCGCGTCAATGCTTAACAAAAAGTGGTCGACCAAGTACACACCCCAAGTCTACGAATCCCCCTGGAGGCCGAGGCCAAATTTTCCAGGGAGGATCTTCAGAACCATCGCTACTTGATGTCACAGCATGTGGTGCGCCTTCAAAAGTATCCTTCCAAAGTAGCATTAAGAATGTAGCAATTCCGATATCCTGTATTCAAGTTATCTAGATCGGCTGAAAATACCGAGAAGTATTGAGTGAAGAAATAAATACGAACCTCAAAGACATGTTTTAAAGGGTCCGTGACCTCTTTCCATTCTTGAACAATGTGCTTGTGTCTCTCGCGCATAACGAGGTACAGATCTTGATAGGCGTCTCGAGGCACTAAACAGTCATGCAAAACACGCTTTCTATAGTTTGTCAGTGCGCCCCAGCCATAGCGATGCAATGTATCAAGGAGAGCGAGACAAGTGCGGTAGAGCCGTGAGTTCAGATCGGTGGGTGTATCGGGAAATGGAACGACTTCGATGCTCAAGTTGGGCTGCGTTGAACTTGTTGAGGGGATGTAACGGAGGGCAAGGTGGAATACCGTAGGGTGATAGTAAGGTAGGGTGCCACCCTCAGGGACGATGGGCGATAAGACGAGAGTAGAAGGTATATCAGCAGAATCGCCGTCACTGAAAGCATACAAGGTACAGTATTGCTCCAGTCCTGCATCACGGCCAGGTCGACGGGGTAGCAGTTTTCGATGCACGACTCGGATTGAATGAAGACCTTTGAAGTAGGGTAATGACGATGGAAAAGTAATATCATCTGCGGAGGCTTCTGCGACTGTTTCAGACCGCAATATGAGCGTGGAGTTGTACTCGGGATGATGTATGAGCTGCGAGATTGCAGTCTCAAACTAAATGAGATTCAGTGCGTATGTTCCTGTTCGTACAAAGTAATAACTCACGAGTTCCAAAGGAAAATCCGCTGGGCAGCGCAGCAAGGGAAGCCAGTTATCTTTATCTTTAATAGATTTGAGCGGTGCGTAGCTTTCATCAAGCTCTTTTGAGCCACAAGGTGAAGGCGAAAACCGAGGGCGCGTCGAGGGCGTAGTCTGTGGAATTGGGTTCTTCATCTATTGACGTTTTTCACGATAAGCAATGTACTGGATGATAGTCACGGCATATAGTAACCTTGACAGAGATTTGAAGCTTGAAGACGGGAACTTTTCACATAGTAATCAGATAGACAGACGATATCCGTCGTTACTATGATTGGAATGGCTCTCGACATTCAAGATGCTCACCTGGTCCATCCAAAGCTGAATAACGCTTTGAGTGAGTTTGCGATTGGAAGATATGAAGTGCTACAGTCAAAGGTGCCTGCCACTGGTATGATCAGCGCCTTCCTTATTGCGGCAAGGTGAAATTCGCACGCCTTGATAGTATGATTATCTGATAAAAATGTACTAGTACGGCATCATCGTACATTGCTAACAGCTACTACCACAGGCTTAATTACGAGCAGAATACGCCCGACAAAATGAATATCTCTCCATCATGATATCTTGTGCAGATACAATTTCAAGGACTCGGACAAAGTCTCAATTTCCACCACCACAAATTTTGCTTCACATGGCGCTCATGACAGTTGTTTGTTATGGAAAGGATACATAGGGTCTCAACTGTCATAAAACGAGTCATATGTCCTACTTGGAGCTTGAATTCCGGGAAAAGATGAGTTGTATAGTCAAGAAACTGATTCGGGAAGTTTCATCCTTGTCCTTGCATCACTTTATCGGGTGACACTGATGATTGTGTTGTGTAACACGCAGATTGGCATGTACCAGATCAGCGCGCTTATCGCTATCTCAACATACCATCCCTTTTCACCCACGATCTGCACATCTAGTTACTGACTGTATTTCACAGTACAATCACTCACGAAGAAAGGTCGGTGAATCTTACCTCCATATCGGTTCACCACTGTCACACGAATGTTCGGAACCACTAACAACACTGACGGTCTCCAAAACCAGGAATCTAGAGATTCGAATACCAGGCACTAATACGGTCGATTTAAACTTCTGTTACTATACTGACTGCTACAAAGCACTATAATTATGCCTTTACACCACTCCGAGAAGTATCATACATCTAATCTAACTTTGAAAGCCGGTTTAGGCACTCGTGATCGTGATGTCTTAGTCCTCGACTAGAATTTGTGGTTAGAAACGATTTCCCAAAAACCTTTACCCTGAAGCGAAGCGATCTCGAGTTCGAGAGGGGATGGCTGACGCGAGCCGTCACCACCTGCAAACGTTCCTGCACCCCAAGGCGATCCTGGAAAGATGACACACAGTTAGTCTCGCATTCACACGTAGCAACGGAGATATGGACAGGGCGCAGACGATAGGTGCCACATCGAAATCGATATTCATAGATAGGAATTAGTAAAGCAAGACTTACCACCGCGGACTTCAGTTAAATTGGACAACTGAGGGAAAGTGTGTTTGTAACCAAGAGGAACAAAGACCATGCCGTGGTGAATGAAGGTAGAGAGAGTGTTCATGACGGTTGACTCCTGGCCACCACCTGGTGAGCCCGTCGAGACAAAGACACCGGCGAACTTGCCGGCGAGGGCCCCAGAAGCCCAGAGACCACCTGTTGCATCCCAGAAAACCTGTGGGATAATAAGAGACTTTAAGGAAAGGCGGTAGAAGCAGCGATAACGGATCACATCACCTTCCACTGGGCAGGGAAATTACCATAACGGGTGGGGATACCGAAGAGGAAGGCGTCAAAGTTGGTGAGTTCGGTGGGGGAGATGATGGGATAGCTTTGCTTGGGAGGAGCATGCATTCTTGTGAGCACATCATTAGAAAGGGTCTCTGGGATCCTTTGGATAACAGTGAGAATTGAGAGAGAAAAAATGAGATGATCAAACCGACTGGTAGATCTGAACAGAACCGCCCGCGTTTTCGATACCGGTCTTGACAGACTCGGCAACTGGAAGAAAGGGTGAATAGGAGTTATATAGAAAGAACGGGGAACATACGTTTGGCGATGTGCCCATAGAGAGAGTAGATCACAATCGCGACTCTGGGAGAAGACATTTGGATGAAGAGGGCGATGGGGAAGAGAGCAAGGGTGGTGAAAGGAACTAGATGGTAGATGGCCGGTATTTGTAGGTTTCGCGGCGGGTAGGTCTAGGTCAGTGCTCCAAAAAAAATTGCCGCCAAGTGTCGGTATATCGATCAAAGTGGGCTCTCAAGTGAGATTTATAATGCTTGTGGGTCGTTCCTCAAATGTGAACCCACGAAGCTGATAAACGAACATCGGTTGTATCAATGCTGCATCTCTCAGCCAGAAAGGAAAGGTCCGCAGACAAGAAAACGCGAGGATGGCGAATGATAAGTGCTTTATCGTGATTAGTGGAATGCGCGGTTCTACGTCATTCCAGTTCGCGTTTGGGCGAAAGATGCCAGGCAAACAAGAAACAACACGAGTGCGGTATTTTCATTTCTGGATAATGCGCTGATTGCATTTCACCTGTTGCAGCGTTTGGAGACCTTGCTTTGATTAAAAAACACATTTGTCACTTGCTGCCTGTCATTATTAACAATCTCGGGAACATCTTGCTCAGTTTGGAATCGCTGAATAACCCTGCAATTTCCACAGACAGACTTCCTCGTGCTCGGCCCCCGATCTGTCTCACCTTTCCCTCCATGCCAGGTACAGCAAGGAACATTTCCACTCCATCCTCTTCAGAGTCTTCGAACAGCCAAATCGACATGGCCCACTCTTCTTCTGACCGCTCGATGGACTCTTCGTTGCTTGTAATCGCGAGTCGAGCAAATAAAGTTCATGATCTTGCCTGGTGCAGCTGAGAATATTCTTCTGCACAAGGATAGCATCGGCGTTCATTCACGTATTTCAAGAACCACCGCCATCTGATAATCACTGCGCTACACCCTGCTTGCTGAACTTTTTGCCAAATCGATCCAGTGGCATCGTCTTGGTCAGCGTCTTTTTCTACTTCGGGTAACATTTTCAGGGGGCATGGTTCTCTTCATTGGCTGTCATGGAACATCGCAGCAAGAATTTCCAAGTCACTTCTTTACTCCCTCTGCAACCTTTCTGTTTCAAAGATTATGCGGACTTGCTATTTCGTAACCATGTCATAATCCTCCAGTAATCGCTTACAAACATGAAGCAGTCGAGCCGTGTGCACTTTCTCCTTCTCCCTCTTACTGTCTCCGTGTCACGGTCATACCTCTCACGCGTCTCACGGTGGGACATGTCAACGCGTTAAAGAGGTACGATATGCATTCCATCTCTTTAATCCTAACAAACAAGAGGGACATACCTTTTTATAATCGCTTTCGGAATGTGTTTCCCTGGCAAGCGGCAGAAGGACACCTTCGCCGAGCCCAAACCCACACAGATAGATACAAAAGCTCAGGCAACTGATCCTGAACCCACACCGTTTATTCCCGCCCCTTCTGCTGTACCAGAACTTACCCTACAAGACTCCTCGCCGCCTAGCACCATGCCTGCACCAAGAGTAGCCATCGTCATCTATTCCCTCTATGGGCACATCGCTAAGCGTATGTTACTCCCCCGTCTCATCGATGTTGAGTACTGATCATTCATGCTCAATAGTCGCTGAATCTGTCAAGAGCGGTATCAGCAATGCTGGTGGAAGCGCTACCATATATCAGTAAGTCCACTCACTAATGTTGCTCACCACCTAGCTCATCAATTCCTATCCATAGGATTCAGGAAACTCTCTCCGAGGATATCCTGAAGCTTGTCAGAGCACCACCCAGACCTGACTACCCTATTCTCCTCCCTGATGACATGGTCAACTTTGACGCCTTCCTCTTCGGCGTTCCCACCCGGTATGGTAATTTCCCAGTACAGTGGAAGGTGAGTACACCGTTATCTCCCTTGATCATATGTCCAACACATGCCAGGCTTTCTGGGATGCTACCGGCCCCCTCTGGAGCAAGAGTCTTCTAGCAGGCAAGATGTATGGTGTCTTCGTCTCTACAGGTACACAAGGTGGAGGACAGGAGATAACTATCGCTACCACCCTCTCGACGTTCGTCCACCACGGTATGATCTATGTACCGCTCGGTTACAAGCACACCTTCCCACAGCTGAGTGACTTGACTGAGGTCCACGGAGGCGAGTGCCTTGTCATCGTTTATCAAAACGCAACTAATTTTGCTTGCCTCGCAACGCAGGTTCTTCATGGGGTGCTGGTACCTTCGCAGGAACGGATGGCTCCCGCCAACCCAGCGCACTGGAGAGTGAAATCGCTTCTATTCAGGGCAAATCGTTCTGGGAAATTGTTGCTCAATACCATGGTCACAAGTCTTCTTGATTGTGATACACTTCATTCAATAGCTACGCCGGTTCAGAGTAATTGTAATAAATTATTTACACATATCAAATAAGCGTCTCGCATCTGGTTCAGCACTCACTTGTGTGGGCGATCAAAGCTTTTTTTTTTGGTTGCAGCAAGTGCGGAGGTCCGGTTGCTCCATTGTCAATCAAATGCTTGTGTTACATTCCGCGTAATTTGTTATCGGCCCCCGCTGTTCTGTAAACAAAGAAGAGCAGGGCTTAGTGAGTAACGGCGGCCAAGAGAAGTATTTTGAGTGATTGAAGTGTGACAGATCTATTTCAGGAATACATGATGTCGAGGATTTCTCCGAGGATTTGCAAGCGAAGGTTGTAGGGCTTAGAGTGCTACTCACTAGGGGAATAGTGAGCGAGACGTGTGATAAATACTTTGAGCGTGAGTCTGATTACTCGACATGACTTATAAGTTACACGAAAAGCTCTCACCCTACCTAAAAACCAAGCTTGTAACCATGCGTGTCAAAAAATCTGGACGATACTTTCAGTATGCCTATTATCAGGTGGGTCGTAATATTAGAGTCTCTCTCACCGTCATCATATGGGCGCCGAGCACCGCGGTTTCCGTGAAACTGTATTTCAGTGGATGCAATGGAAGTTGAAACGTTACTCACCATTCGGCCTCCGCAGAATACATCATTTACTCAGCGCGTCAAGATTGAGCTTATGGTTGAGGTACTGAGAGGAGATCTAGACGCGGAGTAGCATGTAGCGGAATACAGAAGCATCGTTGTCGTGGTCACGGTCAGGAAGGAGTAGCACACACAATGCGATAAGATTGCAGGTACGATTGCCGTAATAAACAGTATATCTCCCGTTTTATCTCTATGATCTTGCCCCTCTTTAAGAAAACATTGCATCATCAGTCCAGTTACCTGCCGCACGATCAGTGAATGCTGAGTCGTCGTCCACTGCTGGGCCCCAAGAAGAGTCGTCCTTGTTGCGTACAGCCTAAATGAGATATGTCAGCGGCGACATTTAGCATATTATCAATGCAGATCCAGAACATGAGATAAAGATCGACAGGGGAAAGTTAATAAAGAGGTCGATCAAGAGGATTGTTTCGGGGCCGCAGGTGCTTGAGAAATTGGGCCTGGATGACACACCTTAGTCAGGTACTCTCTGCTTCGTGCCATTTCCTTCTCAAGCCTTGCAAGTTGTGCGCCCTGCTCTTGAGCTTCCATGAGCACCCTATCCACATCTTCCTTGGAGAACGTAGGAGGTGGATCCGCGAAGGTGACAGTGCCATCTGCAGAGATTTGAGCCGAAATCTCGGAAGATTCGACCTATTAGGGCAATAAGTATCAGAGGAGATGAAAGTACGACGAGAACCAGCACAAGAATAGCGAATGATAACCGTATTGGTCGATAGAGAGGTTGCTTACCATGCTCAAGATCAACACTCTCACGTCTTCCTCCTTTTGAATGCCCACTGCCCGACCAATATCAGAAAGACCAAGTGTAAGATATGTAGACGTAAGTTTCGTGATGGACCAACGTGGAGCACGTTCTAGAGCCTGAGAAAGGAGACCCAAAGTTTTATCCTAGAGTAGCCAAAAAAAATCACCAAAAAATTAAGACATTTGACTAGGACAATGAAGGTATGATACACACGTTCGTGAACAGTTGATTATCCTTTTCTAATATCGTGCGAAGTTGATCAATATGCTGTGGATAAAAATTTGCAAAGCTGGTGTACGGTGTGTTTTTGATTGAGCGAAACAACATAGGATTCGTGTATTTGGGCAAAGGCATTATCTAACCCCCCAAAAAATACATCAACATCACTATTCGCGATTCGAAAGAAAGTAGATCCGCAACCAGATGACATGACGACACACCTTGCCCCGATAAATCAGCTGCACAATTAACCACTTTTTGAGCGCCTCCATCTGAATAGCGGCCGGCACTTGCCCAGGGCTCGTTACACATATCTCGAAGAATTCTTCAGCCTCAGACCATCTTTTCAACGCGGCCAACGCCATGCCGCCAGCATAATGGTACACGAGATTATCGTTGTAGTGTATATCAGAGAGTGTAGTATCGATGGTAGTTATCGGATGAGACAAGACAGGAAGTGCTGCTGTAAAGTGCCGGGTAGATACACAGGCCTATGATTATATATCAATATTATTCGAATTAAGGTTACCGTGAAGGACGTACTGATAAGAATATGCGATGGACGGTGGTGAGGTGTGAAGGCGTTGGAGAGTATCTTTCTACTAAACTATACAAAGGTGTGATAGCGCACTTCGGCTGAGTATACCGCGTGTTAAAGTTCAACAATAAAGTGGGACCGGATGCGAGAAACAAACTAACATTGCCTATAGTCTCAGAAAAACAGGCGATTCCTTTGGCTAGTAATGTAACTAGAACGCAATGAACGATTGAGCGAATAATTAAAGCCAAAAAGAATGGACTTGCCTCGATCAGGGGCGTAACGAGCCTGCTCTGGGGAAAAGGAACGACAGAAATCTTCGACATATTGGAGTGGAGGTGGTAGCGAGATTGAAGTATTAAGCCTCGCAGATCTAATATGTTGACGTCCATCAACACATCATCACACAAACACCAAATCGTTATCTCTTTATCGAGGCTCTAGATATCCCACCACAGGCCAAGAGAAAATGCAAACACAGCGTTGGAAAAGAAGACTCACAGTATATACAGTACTCCAAGCGTGTGTGATCTGATATCTAACAATGTTAAAGGATCCTGCCCACCTCCCAAGAAACTGGACAAGATTGTTTCTCGCACATCTTTTGGTGCACAATTGCGAAGGGTTTGGTTGAGTGTATGCGGAGATGAAGAAGTGGTGATGTGCACTAGAAGACTGTCTAGAGATAATGGATGTACGTTATCGCTGGAGCTCTGCTGATTTGAGGTTGATGGAGTATTCGCATTGCTAGCACTGGCTTGCTGACCTGGCTGTAAAGGGGGTGTCGGGAGACCTGATTGATTCATATTGACGACGACGATCAGTCTATCCTGAACAAAAGGCTGAATTCCTGCCCAAAAGACGACGATGTAGGTTTGGGTCTGAGCAGCTACGATGTATCTCAGCACCAAGCTTTGCCTTGTGTTTCTTGTGCTAGCCGCTCAGTTGTACTATAACTGACCCACAGGCGGACTTTGCCGATGCCGTCTCGGTCGTTGCCCGACGCAAAAAAGAGTGCCACATTGAATCATCTAGTAAGCTTAATACCATTCTAGCGCAGCGTGGGGCATCTTTTGAAAGATCAATGATGAACCAATGTCGGAGACGTAGGTGTATATACATGGGTACAATGAAAAATCAAACTAAAAAAATGTGAATTGGTGCGTCACATCCGGTGAAAATATAAGGTCTTTAGGGAAATATCTACTTACTCGCAGAGAGAAACCTGCCTGAGGTGATATAAAGCTGATTGAGCAAGATAGCTGATACGTCTAGCAGAAAGGGGGGTTGTGATGATCACAAAGAAGACAAATTGGTAAACAGACTGATATAATGTAGGATCGGATTTAAACAATAGAACATCTTTGGCTTCAAAAAGTAAGTTGTCAGTAGTCTGGGTTCGAGCGGATATCGATGGACTCACAAGACAGGGGAAGGCTCTGCTGTCTCTGGTAGTGACGCCACACCACTTTCGTCGTCGTATAATTGAGTTTGAAAGGGCTGCACCAGCTCGTGATCCATCTTTTCCTGCATCTCTTTATCTTCGTGAGCACTGGACACTCTGCCACTCGAACAGTTGTGGGTACAGTATAAGGAGCTGTCAAACGCCTCAGACATGGTGGATGAACATAAATCGTGCTTCCGTCGGACATAATGAGTAGAAGGAGGCAGGTTTCTGTTGGTAGAAAGTTTCAGATAGACACTATGCTATATCATACCATGCCACGAACCTAGCACCCGAGATATCTAAACTCGGTGAACGAAAGCCCAAACGTCGAGTGATCCAAGAGAATGCTAGACGATAAAAGTGTCTAGCTTCTTCTGTGAAACCAAAGAATGCGAAGAACGCTAGAGAATAAAAAGCGGGGATCCATCGATAGGATTCATAGTTGAAGAGGCTCGCATAATCATCGGCCCACATGGATGTAGGAACTTGCAACACATAATACAAGTCTGGGTTGACGGAAGTCGTTGAAAGTGAACCCGACGGTGTAACCAATTCAAGGAGCAGTGAGCCTATACTGCACTGAAGTGTACATACGATGTTAATGAAGGTGAGAGCTAGAAGGCGCCAGTAGTGACTAAAATGCAGATTCTCGTTATGTTGCTCGAGTTGCCTGTTGTAGACCTTCCGCTGAATAACGGCGTGCAAAGTAAAACCTATAGCTACCCGTTAATGTCTAAAGTATGGATACTGTATTGAGTTACGCACCGGCATATAAAAAGCTCACTATGCCAAAGACAAAGGGCCAGATGAGATAAAGAGGAATAGTAATTTGCGTGGGAGGTACGGTAGGAAAGCAGCCTATATTCTCAAGAATGGAGAATCTGCTGTGTTCGGTGATGTACTCTTAATAAAGCGTTCAACGAGGTCAAGCCTAGGAATATAATTCGACCCAAACATACGGAAGACCGAAAGCACTAAGGGGATGCTAATCCCAGCACAGAGGACGACGATTAATTCGCGTCGAATCTGGGAACTTGGGTTTAGTTGAAGTAGAACGGTATATAGACTACCAGATTACCTCATGACTGCTATCGTTTGTCGACTTCATCGTTATAATACGATATAGATGGCGGACAATACACAACAATCCGACTTGGCTCCCAACCGCCGAAGCCGTGATCAAGCGGGACGCTGCAATAATGATAATTATGACAATATTCTATAGCAGCAGTAGCCACCCACTCACAGAAGTCACACCAAACTGGGGCCCAGTTGACCACGTTGTTATTCCACACAATGGAGTTCACACAGAAAATGAGGCACAGGAAGCTCGTCCATACGATGTACAGACATATACTGATATTCCGTGCTGAAAGACTGGTTAATAAGCACAATATGGGAGGTTAGAAGAAGACACACCTCGACAGTGCATTGGTAAGAGGATAATTCCTGCTAGGAATCCCATAAATCCGAAAACAGTGAACGCTCGATTGGTAGCTTGGAGGGACATCGATAGTAGGAAGGACAAGCGCCGTTTTCGATAGTGCTTATCGAGCCTTCTTTATAATAAAATGACCTACCCTTACGATATTATCTGATAAAAAAGCCCCTTCGATATGACAGCCAGATTGGAGAAGGCCGCCCGGCCATACAGGATGTGACTGAATGATGGACCGACATTGAAAGAATACCTGGGTACAATTGTGCCCTGGCTTGTCACGGCCGACCAAGCCACTGTGTAGCAAGAGACTGCGACAGATCGATAGTATCTTTACGGACAAGTCTAGGAAACAGGACACACTTGAATAACAAGAGAATTCGAGCTCTGATGTGGCCGAATGCGCAGCCATCGGTGGTAACCTATAGGTCTATATCATGATGAATTTGAATTGTATGGGGGTCATCACTTACATGGTTATTCTTATTGCGGAAGCTAAGCACGGTGGTTCGAGTTTGACAGTTCATGAAATTGCATGCCGGTGAAAGTTGCCAGTAAATCGGCTTTGTCCGGGACGGAGGATCACCGCCCGTAGTACAGCATCTATAATATCTATGTAGTATATCAGGACAGTCCTGGCCCAGACAGTAAGCCAATACAAAATGTTTCAAGTTGGAATGTGTAAAAAAACAAAAGTGCGTAATACAAACAAATCAAATGAAGAAGCTAACGACTCAGAGTGACAGGTACCAATATTTGCAAAGCAATGCCAAGCAGTGTCAGTGTCAAACCACTGTGCCGACTTCAAGCCTCAAACGGTCATCCTGTACAAAGGCGAGGCCGTGCTTCACAGCTTGTCGTAAGTGTTGGGCATAGGTTTCCCGAACATATCGGCTCTTCACACTCCATCATAACATATCCGTTCCAACGAGCACTTTGATTTACCAATTGTCGTCGAACATGATATAGTATGCCATTTTTTGCCTCTCCTCCTCCGTCATGGCCTCAGGAGCAACAAAATCGAATCCAAGTCCGTCCAAGGAGCTGTAACCCACTGAAGGATCGCTCCTATTTTCCAAAGGCCCTGCGTAGTGAGCGATCGCCCAGTATGCAATAACCTCGTTGACGCTGATAGATGATTATACGAGATAAGATATCAGTCCCAAAAACGGTACAAGGTAGGAGTTAGACGCACTATTTTGGTAATCCATCGATCTTAGACACAACAACATTCAATTCGAGCTTTAATGGGTAAGGTGTCACAAATTCTGACGGACCTGCTTTCCACCGTATTTTGCGGCAGCATCATTGAGCCACCCCATATAGAATCGAACATTTGCTGAGGAAGTAGATGTGATGAAAATATTGCGACAATAAAAATATGACATACCCCGGAACCCATCGGGACCAAGGAACTGGAAATGCTTGCCATACCCTCCGCGATCAACAACCCGTTCTTGATACAAATGCCACATGTGCTGGGTGGAAGGGAGTTTGGCCGTGTTTGACCACACTTTCGCGAGCGCTAGGGCCAAATAATCAGTGTAAGTGAATGTTTGAATTCCAAAGTTCACTAGAACAGGTAGTAAAAGTCAGAACTCGTAATATGAATACTAAGGGCCCAGACACGAACTTCCCAGGAAAGCCAGTGTGGGGTCTCGAATATAGAATAAATCGAGGTGGAAGTCACGGATATGGGTTCCATCCCTGGCAAGGAACGGTACTACTTTACTACTTGAACCTTCGTGAGGTACGTAGGATGCGTCCTCGTAGTATTGAGGTAAAAAGGGGAACGAATATCGGAAGCCAGTACCAAATATGACGTGGTCGATACCAGTTAGGATCTTTGAAAATGATTTGACACCCAATCGAAAATAAAAACTGCGACTGTACATACAGTACCATTTACAAGCTCGATCCTTGCTGATTGGATGGTTGTGTCTTCATCCAGCGGAAGAAACTGTTTGATTTCTGGGACTATTGTGGTGTTCCTGGGTAACCGTCGCAAATAATTGATGAGAGCGTAATGTGCGCCAGTGCCTTGTTGATTCCGTTTTAGCCTTCTTACGCTTCTTTACACTTCACATAGAAAAAGGAAGGCTTACTATTGTCTGGCTGTGTGGAAACGATAGTGCGAGTATAAGCTATATTCTGACGTTGACAATCCACTGCATCTTTACTTACCCTGATGGACTGATATATTTTATGGGCCCATTTATTCAGGTCTCGCGATATTTCTCCCCCGCTAGTCTGAATTAAATCAGATGTGATTATCACCGCTCAGCACAAAAAGAAATTCAGTCTCACAGCTGCTCCCACGATTAAGACGGTCTTGTTAGATAACGCTTCCGGACGTCGGTATTGCCGTGAATGTATCAGGTGTCCTGGAAAACGTTGTGCCCATTCTTCAAGACCAGGTATCGAGGGCATGTACGGAGCGTTATATCTGCCAGTAGCAACGACAACAGCATCAAAGTCCTGTATGTGCATATAGTCAGATATACATTCATACGAACGCCATACAGACTTCACTTCAGTCCACCAGGTTGCCCTGTATTTATTTTCTCCGATGGGCACGAGTTCTTTGAGCCACAGCCTCCAACCTTGCTCCTGACCTTTCTCGTTCAATCTCTTCTCAATGCGCTCGACTCTTGTATTGTATGACATTATGGGGTTGTCGTCATTGCTATTTAGACCGTGATACGATGCGAAGGCCCGCACGTAATTGCGCAGTTGGTAATGAGAAAGTTCTGGAGGACTTCATAAAAAGAGATAAATACAGGCAATTCATGAGACAAACCCCAACGAGTACCCTCCGGCCAAGGTATCTCGGTGATCTGATTTTTTCAGCAGTCAGCACATATTGTCAGGAGGATGTTCCGTATCTTATTACCTGCTGCGATTTCTTCATAATGGTGCGGGTAAGTTAAAAAAAATCCAGTAAATTTATAGATAATGTCCTACAGCTGGGGCATTGGACTTTAAAGACTCCCACACGGGTTTTGGACCACGGTGGTCTCTGCGGAGGTCGTCATTGACATCAAGTTCTTCTGTATAAGGAAGATCGACTTCTTCTGGGGCAAACGACGGCACAAAGTCAGCAATGGGAATATCAGCATTGGGGACGGGAGCATCGGCTGCCGCCTCTTCAGTATAGTGCCAGTTTCCTCCAGGGACAGAATCCCTCTCAAAAACGCGTAGCTCAAAACCAGCTTCACTGAGGTCTCTATATGCCATGAGCGCACTGATGCACCAACAGTACATTTCAGCGTCTGGACGAAACAGATAATGGATCAGGGGACAGACCTGGGCCCAGCGCCAATGATAGCTACTCTTCGAATGAATGAATCGAAATGATATTCGTCATTCGTTATCTCGTCTGCATGCATGACGAACGGTCGTTGATTCTGTGTGGACACTGCCACTGTAAGGGACAGGACAAGGACAAGAATGGAAAACATGGCTGGCTGTTTGTAAGATTCAAGTTGGTGGAGGGAATAGATACCTTACTCCCGCCAAGGAAGACGCCTCATGCAAGGACAACACGCTATATATAAGAGATAGTAATTCGCCTTATCTCTCAGCGATGAGCTCAGCTCAAAGCCGCTGCTCCCACGTCCGAATCTTACAGTGCTACTACTCCGTCGACCAAAGGGGTGTTCCATAATGCCAGATAGGAGAATCTGGTGAGCAATCTCACCTTATCACGAAATCGCAAAATATGTTATGGGACTGTCGAAATCGTCTAAACATATGGCGCAAGATAAGGCCTGACTGGAGCCATGTTGGTCTCTACCAATATATGTTTATAGTAGTATTTGGTCGGGATTTAAAACTCTCCATGTTGTGACCATATATGGTTATCCTATCATCACCGCGGATAAGTGAATGATACCAGCCATCCTTCACATGTACATAAGCAGCTATATTCTAACACATTTCATGATCCAGCCACCCTACATGGCTATATATGCGCATACAGGGATCCCTGCCCACTGTTCCATCCAACTCCCATGGCCATCATCATCACTCTGGCTGATGCGACCGTAGTCACCCTCACTGTCCTTTTCCTCGCATTTGTGTATCAAAATCGCAGGAAATTTACATCAACAAAATACCCTCCAGGGCCTCCTGGTTTGCCATTAGTGGGATGCGCGTTTGAGAATCCAAGTTCAGAGAAGCAGCCTTACAAGGGTTGGAGAGAGTTGTACGGTATGTCCATCTTGTTGTTTCCAGCTTTCTCCATTCATTGACGCTTTCCCTCCAAGGTCCGATTTCTCATTTTCGCTTGCTCACTCAGGATGTCTTCGTTCTCAACACCCATAGATTGGCTTTCGAACTCCTCGATAAACGTGCCAACACCTATGCCGACCGTCCTCGACAAGTGATGTGTGCCGAATTGTACGTCTTGAATCCCACGTTCTTCTGCGCCCTCCTTACATACTGACCAATCAAATTAAGGATATCTTGGAATAGAGCGATTGCCCTTGCGCCCGCAGGCACAAGGCATAGAAAGTACCGTAAACTCGTGAATAGCATACTCTCTCCCAATGCCACAAAGCGTCTTTGGCCTGTCCAAGAAAAATCCGCATCTGCTTTTGCCGCCACGCTCTTCCACCAATGATTGGACAAACCTTCTGGTGCAGGACAGTCGCATTCAGGATACGAGTTTCTTGAAGTCATTCGACAGGTCATAGCCATGAATATCGTCAACATCATTTATGGCCCTGAATCTATTGTCAAAGGTGAAAATAGAGGCAGTGAATGTCAGGCTGTCGGCTTTTCGAAACAAGACATGGAGAAGTACATACACGATGCAGACGAGGCACAAACCCTTTTTGCTAAAGCACTTGTTCCATTTGCTTACATCGTAGACTGGATACCATGGTGTGAGTCTCCAAGTCCCTCCATTTGAAGCCTGTAGCATTAATACAACTTAATACCAATTGAGTACAATTCCTTCCCGAGTCTACGCCTTTCGTATCGTTCAAAAAAAAAGCTAGGCAAGCTAGGGAAAATTTAGTCAAGTTGACTATGTTTCCTTATACCAAAGTCCGGGAAAGGATCGTAAGGAGTCATCCCTATAGCCTAACCGCATATACTGATATATCTTCTTTGCAGGCTATGGGTCTTCCACAGATTTCCTACGTGGATCACTGTTTCACAACTACCCCTGACCCCACCCCTGAAGACGAGGAATCTATTGCATGGACTGCTATGAGTGCCTACACTGGCGGATCCGATACTGTATGCGCACCTTTTCCAGCTTGGGCTTCAAACTACATTACTAACGAACGGCAAAAATAAATAAATAACCAGACCATCGCAGCCATCAAGACTGCTTTTTTCGCAGCATCCCTTCATCCAGAAGCTCAAGCGCTCGCTCAATTAGAACTAGACCAAATTGTGGGACAAGAGCGTATGCCAGAGATAAACGACCGTCCTAACTTGCCTTACGTGACAGCCTTTGTCAACGAATGCATGAGGTTGATACCTGTTGCTCCCATTGGTAAGAACTCATCCGCTCCAACCTTCATTCATTGTTCCTATCAGACTTACCGTGAGAGATCCACAGCTGTTCCTCATAGAGCAATGAAAGACGAGACGATTGATGAGTATTTTATTCCGAAGGGTGCAATTATTATTCCAAACATCAGGTAAGGAAATTAATATATCTAGGGGTGTAGCTTGTGACTTGTTTTAACCTTCTGGCATATTGTCATTAGAGAAATGCTCCGCGATCCCGATATATATGAATCACCCTTATCCTTCGATCCCGTTCGTTTCCTTCCCACAACAGGCACACCAACGCATCCAGACATCAAAGGCCGGACTGAGCTCAACATTGGCTCTCTCCCATACGGATTCGGCAGGAGAATATGTCCCGGGATGCATTTGGCAGATTCCGGTGTATGGCTCTATGTGTCTACACTCCTTTGGGCGTATCACGTTTCGATGGTAGACGATGATGGTAGTATCGTCAAGGATAGAGTAGCAGAGTGGGAATCTGCACAGTTTTCTAGCGGAGCCGTACAGTGCGTACCTTTCTTCAATTGTTTACTGGATATACAGTTGCTGAATATGGAAATGTCTCAGGTATCCTCTTCCTTTCAAGGTGAAGCTTGTACCGAGATCAAGTGCTGTAGAGTCTCTGCTCAGAAATGCATGGGATGATCTGTGAGCACATGAGACATGCTCACACATGATGTGACAAATCTGTTTTATCGAGTATTTATGCGCCCTAGCCCCAGGTCAAGGCTCGGCAGGATATTGGCCAAATCCTTTTCGAAACATGTGTGACACGAATTTGTCTGGCCGTGTAGAATGCGGTTTGCGAAAGTGACGCATCATGGCCTAATACAACATGGGAATTCGAATCAGAACTTCGCTTTACACCCTTTTTTGAAACTTCTCTTCTCTTATCCCAGGTTGAACATCAGAACCTTGATAGCAAGACTCACTCCTTCCTATAGTTCTGATAGTAGTGGATAAGACTCGTCTGCAAAACGTATCAGCACCATATAAACAAAAATATCGCACAAAACATACCAAGCTGAGCCAAAGTGTTTTTAGAACTTTGCCAAGCTCGACACCCATTTTGCAAAGCAATGTCAAGCAGTGTCAAACCACCGTGGCGACTTCAAGCCTCAAATGGTCGTCCTGTACAAAGGCGAGACCGTGCTTTACAGCATGTCGTAAGTGTAGGGCATAAGTTTATTGAACGTCGGTTCTTCACACTCCATCATAATATATCCGTTCCGACTAGCAATTTGATTTACCAATTGGCGTCGAACATTATATAGTATGCCATTTTTTGCCCCTCCTCCCGTCATACGACTAGCACTTGTGATTTACCAATTGTCGTTGAACATGATGTAGTACGCCATTTTTTGCCTCTCCTCCCCCGTCATGGCTTCAGGAGCAACAATATCGAATCCAAGTCCGTCCAAGAAGCTGTAGCCTACTGAAGGATCGCTCCTATTTTCCAACGGCCCTCCATAGTGAGCGATCGCCCAGTATGCAGCAACCTCGTTGACGCTGAGAGATGATTGTACAAGATAAGACATATCAGTCCCAAAAACGGTACAAGGTAGGAGTTAGACGCACTATTTTGGTAATCCATCGATCTTAGGCACAACAACATTCAATTCGAGCTTTAATGGGTAAGGTGTCACAAATTCTGACGGACCTGCTTTCCACCGTATTTTGCGGCAGCATCATTGAGCCACCCCATAAAAAATCGAATATTTGCTGAAAGGGTGGATGTGATGGGGAAATATCGTGACAATTCGAAACATGACTTACCTCGGAGCCTATCAGGACCAAGGAACTGGAAGTGCTTCCCATACCCTCCGCGATCCACGACCCGTTCTTGATACAAGTGCCACATTTGCTGACATGAAGGGAGTTTCGCCGTGTTCGACCACACTTTCGCGAGCGCTAAAGCCAAATAATCGGTGTAGGTGAATGCTTGAGTCCCAAAGTTCACTAAAGCAGATCATCAAAGTCAGAACTAGTAATATAAACATCAAGGAACTCGACACAAACTTCCAAGGAAAGCAAGTGTGGGGTCTCGAATATAAAATAAATCGAGGTGGAGGTCACGGATATGTGTCCCATTACTAGCAAGGAATGGCACTACCTTGGTACTTGAACCCTCGTGAGGTACATATGAAGCGTCCTCGTAGTATTGTGGCAAAAAGGGGAACGAGTATCGGAAGCCGGTACCAAATATGATATGGTCGATTCCAGTCAGGACCTTTGAAAATTATTCGATGTCCAAAACATAAGGGAGTCTGTGGCTGTACATACGGTACCATTTACAAGTTCGATTCCTGCAGATTGGATGGTCGCATCTTCATCCAGGGGAAGAAACCGTTTGATTTCCGGAACTATCGTGGTGTTCCTGGGTAATCGTCGCAGATAATTGATGAGAGCGTAATGTGCGGTAGTGCCTTGTTGATTCCGTTTCAGCCTTCCTACACTTCTTTACATTTCACATAGAAAAAGGAAAGCTTACTATTGTCGGGCTGTGAGGAGAAGATAGTGAGTGTAAGTTATACTCTTAATGCCGGCACACCGCCGCATCTTCACTTACCCTGATGGATTGATATATTTTATGGGCCCATGTATTCAGGTCGCGTGATATTTCTCCTCCACTGGTCTGAATTCTGTTAGATGATTGTCAACGTTCAGTACAAACACGTTCTCACAGCTGCCCCCACGATCAAGACGGTCTTGTTAGCCAACGCTTCTGGACGTCGGTACTGACGTGAATGTATTAAGTGTCCTGGAAAACGTTGTACCCACTCGTCAAGGCCAGGTATCGAGGGCATGTACGGAGCATTATATCTGCCAGTAGCAACAACCACAGCATCAAAGTCCTTATGTGCATGTAGTCAGAGACCCATTTAAACGAAAGCCATACAGACTTCACTTCAGTCCACCAGGTTGCCCTGTATTTATTTTCTCCGATGGGCACGAGTTCTTTGAGCCACAGCCTCCAACCTTGCTCCTGACCTTTCTCGTTCAATCTCTTCTCAACGCGTTCGACTCTTGTGTTGTAAGACATCACAGGATTGTCGTCGTTACTATTTATACCGTGATACGATGCGAAGGCTCGCACGTAATTGCGCAGCTGGTAATGAGAAAGTTCTGGAGGATTTCATAAAAAGAGATAAATACAGGCAATTCATGAGACGAACCCCAACGAGTACCCTCTGGCCAAGGAATTTCAGTGATCTAAAATTTCGGCGGTCAGCACACAACGTCAAGATGTTCCACATCTTACTACCTGCTGCAATGGCTACACAAAAAGTGTAAGTTAAGTTCAGAAATCGAGCAAATGCATAAGAATAATGTCATACAGCTGGAGCATTGGATTTCAAAGATTCCCACACAGGCTTTGGACCACGGTGGTCTCTGCGGAGGTCGTCATTGCCATCAAGTTCTTCTGTATAAGGAAGATCGACTTCTTCTGGGGCAAACGACGGCACAAAGTCAGCAATGGGAATATCAGCATTGGGGACGGGAGCATCAGCTGGCGCCTCTTCAGTATAGTGCCAGTTTCCACCAGGAACGGTGTCCCTCTCAAAAATGCGAAGCTCGAAACCAGCCTGAGTGAAGTCTCTATATGCCACGAGTGCACTGATGTACCGACAGGGTATTTCGGTTGTGTGGACAGAACAAACATCGATTCAAAGACAAACCTGGGCCCAGCACCAATGATAGCTACCCTACGAATCGATGAACCGAAATGATACTCGTCATTCGTTGTCTCGTCTGCCATGACGAACGGGTGTTGGTTCTGGGTGGACGCTGCTACTGCGAGGGAAAGGACAAGGACAAGAACGCCAAGCATGGCTGACTGCTTGTAAGAATAGTTGGAAGGAATAAATACTTTACTCCTGCCACGGCAGACGCTTCATGCGGGATAAACACGCTATATATAAGAGATAGATTCACCTTATCTCTCAGCGGTGAGCTCAGCTCAAAGCCTGATATGCACATAATAATCACACGTTACTCCCACGCACTGCTAATAGTTTTCCGTCGACCAAAAGGGTATTCCGTAATAGGTGAATCTGAGCAATCCCATCCTATCAGTAAGTCGCAGAAAATGTTACAAGACTGTCGAAATTGTCTGAGCATATGACGCGAGATAGAAGCATGACTGAGGCTTTGTTGTCTCTACTAATATATGTTTACAGGTGCTCTAGAATGCGGTTTGCGAAAGTGACTCATCATGGCCTAATACAACATGGAAAACGGAACTTCACTTTACACTCTTTTGAAACTTCTCTTCTCTTATCCCAGGTTGAACATCAGAACCTTGATAGCAAGACTCACTCCTTCCTGTGCTTCTGATAGTAGTGGATAAGACCCGTCGTCTGCAAAACGTATCAGCACCATGTACCCAAAAATATCACACGAATCATACCGAGCTATCGTGACCCTTGACGTCTTCAGGCTTACCAAGCTGAGCCAAAATGTTTTTCGCAAGAACTTTGCCAAGCTCGACACCCATTTGATCTGATGGCCCAGATTCAGAACATCGTTAGGTTCGCAGAAAAGGTACACACCATAAGAGTTGATACCCCAGATGACACCTTGCGTAAAAATCTTGTGCTCATACAAAGCAATGAGAGCGCCCAGCATGTTGGGCGTCATCTTCGGGAACAAGATGCTGTTACTGGGCCTGTTGCCTTCGAACACCTTACTCTTCACAAGGGCCTCGCTAGCATTACTACCAACCTCTTTGCGGACCTCTTCTTCTGTCTTTCCGAAAGCCAGAGCTTCGGGCTGGGCGAAGTAGTTGGAAAGCAGGATGCGGTGATGCTTGGATGCAGCAATTGGGTTGTGTGTGGTAGCAGGAGCAAGGAAATCGGCAGGAATGAGCTTCGTGCCTTGATGTACGAGCTGATAGAAGGAATGTTGACCATTGGTACCAGCTGCACCCCAAATGATAGGCTAAAACATTGAACATTGACGATCAATCATAATCTGTAAGAGAGGTCCAAATTTCGTACCCCAGTTTGATAATCCACTCGCTGACCACCTTTGGTTACAAACTTGCCATTAGACTCCATGTCACCCTGTTGGAAGTAATCCGCAAACTTGTGAAGATATTGGTCGTAAGGTAGGAGAGCATGCGTTTGAGAACCGTAGAAATCGTTGTACCAGACACCAATAACGGCCATCAGCACGGGCAAGTTGCTTTCCAAAGGTGTTTCTTTGAAGTGCTTATCCATCCCGTGTGCACCCTTCAATAGCCTTTCAAAGTTGTCGTATCCAATGTACAACGCGATCGACAGACCAATTGCACTCCACAAGCTGTATCGCCCACCAACCCAGTCCCAGAATTGAAACATATTCGCTTTATCGATACCAAAAGCAGTGACGGCCTTGGTGTTGGTGCTCAGCGCGACAAAGTGTTTTGCTACATGTGCCTTGTCCTTGGCAGCGGCCAAGAACCAGTCCCGAGCGGACTCCGCATTGGTGATTGTCTCTTGTGTAGTAAACGTCTTGCTCGCGATGATAAAGAGAGTGCGTTCGGGGTCACAAATCCTGAGGGTCTCAGCAAGGTGAGTGCCGTCGATATTCGATACAAAATGTGCAGTAAGGTCTCGTTTGGCGTACGCCTTCAGCGCCTCGGTAACCATGACTGGACCGAGATCCGATCCACCAATACCAATGTTTACGATCGTGTTAATGGTCTTGCCAGTGTAACCCTTCCAACTTCCGCCCCGTACGGCTTCAGAAAACTCTTTAATGTGCGCGAGAACGCCCCCAACCTCATCAACGCCCTCCTCCTGAATCTTGAAGTCGTCAAAGTTGCGCAAAGCGATATGCAAGACGGCACGATCTTCCGATGTATTGATGTGCTCGCCTGCGAACATTTGGTCGCGGTATTTCTCGATCTCAGCTTCTCGCGCTAGAGATAGGAGGGTGGAGAGAATAGGCTGGGTGATGAGGTTCTTGGAATAATCGAGTAAAAAAGTTGTGCTTGGATCGGTTGAGTCAACATATTCTGTGGAGAACTTGGAGAAGCGGGCAGGATCCTGGGCAAAGAGATCCTTTAAGATGAGGTTTGAGTGTTCCGAGTCGTACACTTGCTGGAGCTTCTTCCAGGATTCGTAGCCTAAACAGAGATCGATGACATATCAGCCATACTGATAAAAACGACAGTCAGGGCAGCAGACCTGAAGATAATTTTCCACTCATGATGGTGCTGGAAGAGAATGATAATCGCGAGATTTCGGGGAGAGTTGGCGTTAAAGCAGAGCCAGAGCTTTACTTATAGCAGACAACTCGGGTTAGCCGTGGGAACAATTTCGGTCCGCCTCTGGCTCCCTTTACTCAAGCATCCGTGAAACTTGCTCAAGACGAGAGAAAATCCAACCATGTTAGTTTATTTTAATGCTCGCTGAGACAGACGTTGTTAGGTTTACGCTGGGACGTGTGTTGGCTTACACGCTTATTGGGAAGAGCATACTCTCGTAGTGTACTTTCGTTGCTGATAACGGGAGGAGCCAGATAGATGATCTCGGCATGATTCGGACATGATGGGAATTCTTGGTGTCTTAGTACAATGGAAGGTACAGATTCCCGTAGCTGCGTGTAAGACGCGTCGGATTTCCAGAGCGATATACCAATCATGCGCCTACACGTTCGAACGAGTGAGAAAATAGACTCAAAGCAGAGAAGGGAGAAACTTACACAAACGAACCTACAACTACGCACGAGCAACTATGGCAGCTGACATCAAACGTTGGACCGAACAAGCAATGTGATGCCCTAAAATGATGATAACTAGATAATTGGCATGAGGGGAGGGCATCTAACCTTCTACAGGTGTAGGCAATGAACGTCCTCTGCTTGATTACTGGAATCGCAGCAGGTAAGTATTTCGTACTGCACAAAGACACCGGCAAGGGAAAGCTATCGACAAAAAAGCAAGTCCTCTCACGGTACTGCGTCACCCCCCAAGCTCGTGGCGAAAAGCAATGGATTCGAGAAATAGCATAGAGTGTGGCGTAATAGGAAATAGGTGAACACAGTGCGCCAGATCAACCACGCAGAAGCTGGAGAGGTAATCATTTATAAAAGAGAGCGACAACTACTTACCAGGGACATACAAAAGTAGGCAGATGATCGGGCACACTCAGTAAAAAACATTGAACGAAACCCCCAAGATCGATAATAGTATATGGGACACGTTCGGCAAATTTCTTGAAAAAAAAGCGAGTACATCGACGGTTCAAAACTTCAATTCAGGAGGTTCAAATTAAAGCAGCTCGACAAGAGCTTTCTTTGTGTGTCGAAGCTTGAAAGTTTGAGCCTTGACCATCACCATTATTATGGAAATCTCGCAAACCCAAGTTAACTAGAAACAAGGACGTGTTTCAGTTTGAGAGACAAAAAGAATGCAGGGTGTGTGCCGGAGAAAGCCGGCTGACCACAATGCCACCACGGGTATTTGCCGATGTTTGTACAGTGTTGCATTGTTCTTTGGTCGCTGAGCCAGACGACGACGGTCAAAGCAAAGGCTGCCCAATTTTTGCTCTTATAACCTTCCTCTCGAATTGGTTGATCCATTTTTCTTTTTCTTCCCACCACATCCACATTACTTTTCTATCAATTCACAGCATTATCCCTGACCGGCGACAACATCTTATCTGACTTGTTTGTTTCAATGTCGACTCACAGAATACTCGATTCGTCCCCAATACCTATCCCTCCAACCCGTCCGCCATTTCATGCTGCCAAAGAAGTTGAAGACGCGGCCAAATCGCGCTCATTGAAGCGATCAGCCTCTGTTGCATCCCTCCCTACGCCTCCCCGTACCCATCACAAACGCACTCGTTCACGTGCACGATCATCTGCGTCCAACCATTCTTCAGATGAGAGTGGCTCTGACCCTGATGGGGATCTAGGCGGTGGGTATGCTGCGAGGCTCAGAGCTGCTGCAACCAGGGATGCTGCCGGTAAAACGGGGCAAAGCGACACAGGTTCACTAGCTGTTGGTAGCAAGAGACGACGTACTTCTAAAGTTCTAGCGGGACAGCACGACGAAGAAGAGGACGAGAACGCGTTCTGGACTGGTCGCAGCGGTACGGCTACCACAAGAGCCAAAGGCGTTGCTGCCACTGCGCAAGATGCTTCGAAGGAGGCATCCCAGTCGCGTTCACCCTCTCCTGCACTACTGCGCTATCGCGTGAAAGCTCCCGTCTCACCGCCACCTTCACGAAGACAGTCTCAAGCACCTGTTCAGACACAGCGTGCCACAACCCCACCTCTCGATGAGCCTCCTCTCCCTGTCACGCCACCTCGTCGCCTGTTCGCACAAACTGCCAAACCCGCTCTTCTGTCTCGTAAAAAGTCTAAATCTCGGGAGAAGATTTGGCCCGTCCGTGATTCACCTAACAATCCTTTCTTGGAAATTGCCTCGAGTTCCGCTCCCTTAGACAACGAATGGGACACTAGCTCGGATGAAGAAAGTGACGTTATTGGAGAGGCCCTGGAGCGGGAAGGTACACCGACTCCAGCCAAGGTACATGCAGAGAAACCGACTATTACTTACGTTTTGTGGGCACCTTTTCACTTTTTCTTTACTATCGTTCGCTGACCTCGTTAACTCGTTAGCCGTGGCCAAAAGGCGACTTTCCAGAATCCATTGTATGACCTGCCGGCTAGCGTGCTTGCGGCCTCGCGACTACCAGTAGACCATCCTGACTTCGAAGCATATGACGCCTGCCCACCTAAGAAACTATTCGTGGAAAAGAAGCAAAAGCCTAAGGACATAGATGCATCATCCGGCGATGGTCAAGATACACACAGGGTTGTACGCGAGAAAGGTAGTAAATCTCGCAGTACCAGTGCTGAACGCGAGCCGGTTTTCTCCAAGCCTCCCCCATGTGAGCCGATGCAAGTGAAGTCGCAACCTGGGTCAGCCTCACTTTCGCGCGCATCTTCTGCTGAGCGTGTTGACAAGGGTCGTGAGCGTGCCGATGTTCTTGTACGTGTTAGGGAAAGCAGGGAGCAACGGGAGAGGGAGAGTAAAGCGCGTATGGAGTCGAGGGAGGGTCTGCGAGCTGGCGCAGTCTACACGGAGAAGGACGACCCGGCCAGGCGCGCAATGGGCCCTGAGAGGCTTTCATCGGGCGCTTAACCTTTCGAATATGATTCGTGAGTAGGTTCCATATTCTTGATCGTGATTGTGTCAAAATGCTCGTTGGTTTGATCCCTCTTACTGGCAATCGTCGATCACGGCTTTACGACTTCTGCCCACATGGCTTGAGTGTCGTTATTAACGTCCTCTCATATTCATTCATTTTATTCTTTTGTTTTCTGTTTTTAACCGTTGTTTTTGTGTCTTGGTTCTCTTTTTCATCCGTGCGATACACCCCATCCTCCTCCTTCTCCCGCTGTTTTTCTGTTTACCTTCATTTTTCAAGTATGCACTCAGCGAAACCCACGTCCTCATGATATGTACCGTCGAATATAGTATCATTAAATATATCTGTTGTTAGTGAATATTTGAGCCTCATTTAAATTACTCTCACCTGGTGCGCAAGGCGTTGACATTAATTTGGATGGCTCGGTTTGCGCATCCACGGTAGGCTCATCGACAAGGCTATGCAGCAGAAAAGGTACGCTCAATTCGGTAGTCAGACATTTGTTATCCATCTCATGAAAAATCAAAATTCTATCCAGTACTTCAACACTTCTCCAGTGGAGCGGCCTCGGTATGCAGGCGACAAACCTAGGTTACCTATCACATGGACCAGTTGATCCATTGATCTGGTAGCCAACAAGTTCCAAGATCTTTTCCAGCATGTCAAGCTATTATAATATGGCATGCCGTATGTCCAGTGCAAGAGTGCTTGTATGCTGCTGGAATTTCAATTGAAACATCCGCTGGATAAATTTGAGCATGGCCCATAGGTGAAAAGGCATTGGTGCTGAAAACGTGCATGCTGTCATGATCAACAGGCCCTCTCGCTCTATACTAAGGTCCTATGCTCAAAAACTACAATTTTGGATCATCGTCATTATGTCCAGGTATTTACTATTCAGGTTGAACACGTCAAACTGGATAGCATCCCTGCGCGAAAATCTGGATGCAGGACTCAACCATTCATTGAAAGGTGTATTGTGTCTTCGCTCTTTGAATCTGGTCGAACTATCTTGCCACGATACCACAGTACGTTTAGTGCGCAGTTGAACCGGCTCGATTTATTGACAGGGGATTGATTATTCGTTAGTTAATTGACGAGATACGTATATCAAGCACTTGAGACGAGAGGTTGTATAAGTTATACTGTTTCCACTACCGCGCACGATGCCTTTGTGGCTTTTGACACTGCTCCATCTACATATCAAAAAAACTGGTAAGTACACATGTTCAGTATCTTCAAATAGCTGTATTTGCTGACAACAAAAGGAGCTACTTCTTCAAGGGAATAATACCAGTATCGGGGCGAAAACGGCTGTTCCCTATCTAGGCAGTCTAGAAAAACGTTATTCATGATATAACCCAGCGCATCATCTGTCAAATAGCTTGCTGTCGATAGACGGAAGTATGTTGGCATGCTCGGGTCATCGTATTCATGGACCGTTGGCGGATTTTCTAGTACATTGTCACGGTCGACGTACCAGCGATGGAGACCCTTTAGCTCTCGCCTTACGACCCACGTCGCACTTTACCGCTACCAAACGTCCTGGATCCCCGCTCCATCGAAAAAGTTCTTTCAGTTGATGGAATCCAGGTATTGCAGTGAGCTATCGGGGCACAAGGGCATGTCCGACGTTCTTGTTACTGGGTGGGACGAACACCGGCGAGGGCATCACACCTACAAGGTTTTGATGTTTGAATGCGCAGCTTGTCCGGTCATCGAGGCTATACCGCATCGCTTGTCTATTAGAACACCAAGAAGGTTGGACGCCTGTCACGCATGACTATTTATTCTGCATCGATTTCAGGACATTAATTGCACGTACAGCATAGAACATAGCCCGATTGGCCCCTTCGAGTGCCCGATGATTCGAGAACTGGATGGCGAGTATACTTTGGGACTTACAGCTGCCAAAATTCAAAGCTATTGTGCCTTCGTGGGGAAACTTGTGGGGAAATAGAAATTAATCAATCCACTGCAGCAGAATCATGATCAGGATATCGAAGCAAGTATGTTCTCCCCATGTTCGCCGCACATTTGCACACATCTCCGTTCAGCTGCTTCTGATAGGGTCACAAGTATAGACCATTGATATATATATGGAGAAGAATGAGTGATACACGATGATACTTTGATGGCGGAGCCTAAAGGCTTCCTCACTGCATCTGAGACAGAATGAAGCTGTATAACAACTTACAATCCTCGGGTTAGGCTGAAGTTCTGCAGGGAGTTAAAACAAGGAACTAGAACTATCATAGTGCTGTCGTTTGCACAGGTAACAAAAGTCATATGGACATGATATGTAAATATGAGTACGAGACGTGGGGACTGCGACTCTTTGCACATGAGCTACCTTTATCTGGCAATCCTTATCTTTCGTGTGGGCAGAGTGTTTCTCGACATGATCGGGGAGATAGAGGTTCGATTAAGATGTCAACGGCATACCACAGGCGAATCAGCGAGCTTAAGAGTTCCTCCACTTCTATTGGACCCCGCTGACGTCGCATCGCCAGAACCCCGTTGGTTGGTCAAACCGTTCAACACGATATCGTTGCTTTCCAGTGACACCGCGAGCAACCAGACTCCTATCAGCCATCGTAGTCGCCGTTGTGAATTCTTCTGTTCTGATACATCAATCCAATAACGGTCTTTGATCTTGCAATACACAGACGAGTCCCGGGTTCACATGTGTGTTCGACAAACGCCCATATCCAACCAATAATAACGGATAGATGGAAGCGCCAGGTGGAGCAAAACTGTATTCATTGCGAAAATAAAAAATAGACTGACAACATAGATGTTTGACAATTTTTTTTAACATTCCAGCACGACGTTACGTGCGCTATAATTTACACTTCGATACATCCTTCGACAACCTTCGATTCGTGTGGACCTGATAGCAGTTCCGCTACATCGGTATCGGTATCGGTATCGACGTCGGCTGTAAACAGAAGATGGTTTACGTTAGCTCCATGCGCGAGATCATGTTGAGACCAGTTATAATAAGTTCGGAATAAGGTGTGTAGAACAGGAAGGTTTAACAGCAAGAATGTTCTAGGAAATGTAACTTCTTTGCAATGCGGAAGGACCCACACTGCCAGGAGTATTGGTCAGAGATAAGGGTATAGCTACAGCGGGTCCAGAACCAGATCAACACGCGCCATGCATGTGAGATTTGAGACTTTTGATAGAGATCGAAATGGCAATTATGAGAGATTGAGATATCTAAACGACTCGAAACACGAACGAGGTAAATGAAAACCATAGATCCTTCCGGGAAAGGCGCAAAGCAAATGAAATCGTGAGATCCAAAGGTAGAGTCCCAAAAGAGAAAAAAACAAAACCAAAAAGGAAGATCGAGATCACAAAGAGAGAAAGAAAAAATTCATAGATCCAAGAAAGACACATACTCATGTTCCTCCATCACAACTGGCAACGACCCCCACGAGCTGTCCGAACTTCCTACAGAATTATAACTATGCACCGGCGAGGACAATTCATAACAAGACAAGCTACTTGGCGGCAAGAGTACGATGCGTGGTGATCGAGGGGCGAAAAGCCGCGCCGAGCGTCTCCCGCGAAGTCGCCGGCCTTCTAGTCAATCGTTCCTGGGCGAGAGCGCGCCACCGTCTTGACTGGCAGCGTCAGAATGGAGAGAATGGATAGATTGGTCGGAAGGGCGGCTGTTGTATTGAGGGTGAGAAACTTTGTTCCACAGTGCAGCGATACCGTGTTTCTCCCTCGACGGCGTACGTCCACTCGGATCGCGCGAGGCAGAGCGCGAGCGAATGTTGCCTGCACCCCCACGCCCGGACGACTCGAACTCGGCGGCGTGGTGACCGTGGATCTCGAGGCTTGGACCGCGTGAAGACGTGAGATTGGCGACGCCTCCCCGGCCGGTGGAGTGCCTGAGTGACGTGGGTCAGTATCATTACGTTCTGATAGTAGAGCTTGATAAGGAAGGGGTGAGGAAAGGAAGACTTACATTCCTTCTCCGTGCGCGTGTTTCCTTCGTTCTTCTTGATCAAGGATGTCTGCATTGAGACCATCTCCGTATTGAATGTTTCCGGCTCCGCCTCTACCGGTAGAGTGTAAGGCAGGACTGGGCCCCTTTGAACGAGAGCGAGATGCGGATATGTTGCCCAAGCCGCCACGGCCGGAGGAATGCTATGCAAGATAAATGTGAGACTGTATTCGACTTGCAGCAAAGAAGAAGGGATAAGGAGAGAATGCATACCACTGGATTGGCCTCTGCGTGCAATTTGCGCACCTGCCGCTCATAGTCTGCATTCGCTGCTGCGTGGTCGGAGAGGATGGAGGCGGTCTGGGGATGGTCAGGCCCGATATCACGGGAGGGCGAGCGGATGTTGCCTGCACCGCCTCGGCCAACTGAGAATACCTGCTGTAGACATGAAGTAACGATGTGAGCATGTGGAAACTGTGGCGAGATGATTCGGAACTCACTCTGTCGGCATTGACGGCTGGTTCTCGACCACGAGTGGGTGAAAAGTCATCTGGGCCGTCAGTAGGGCGAGTATCAGTTGAGATGGAGGAGCGGCGGATGTTTCCTATGCCTCCTCTCCCTGATGATTGCTGAACAATATTTTAGCTCTGATGATTGCAACTGAGGAGGTGAACATACGAATGCATCGCGACCTCGCGAGACAGAGCGGTCTGGTGTTGTAATTGAGTCTGCCATTGGAGTGTGGTGAGATGGGGGTGCGCTGGTGGTGGAGCAAAAGAGAGGGGGATTTGAAAGAGGCGCGCCAGAAAAATGAAAATATGAAAAGGAACTATTGACGAATAAGGCAGGTATCACGGTCGAAATACAGCAAGAGCCGGAACTCGATAGAGCGAGGTCTCCTAGCACGATGACCGAAAAGTGTACAGCATGTACAGCCAGCTCATACAGCAGCGCTTACACCCAGGCTGTCATATACAGACACAAAGTTAAAGCAGCCGTACGGGGAAGATAAGAGCCACAAGTAAGACCTGGAACAGTAATTGGGAGATATCATGGGACAGAAGGCTTATCAGGATGGCCGCAGCGGGGTCCTTATCATGCACCAAAGCTTATCGCAGTGCGACACGAGCTTATCTCCACCCTAACGAGATATGCTTTATAAATGAGCATCGTGGATTTAACACTGACCTGATCCCTGGCTGGTTCTCTTATCGTTCACTAATGTCGTTGTCGTCGATGCCCCATCGTCGCTGTCGTGTGTGATGACTCTGCCTAATCGAGCTCCAATGGCTGATATCTGTTCGGAGAAGGATCTTCGTGGCGACATCGACGCTCTCTCCCTCGACGACGAATCTGACCTATACGCCGACGGGCTGTGCGACGCTCTCCTGTGGGTTGTATTTGAGTCTTGTGTGTCCATGGCTGTTGTTCTTGAAGGACTGCAGTGGAAGAAAAATCAACGTGCGCAAGGATTCGCGATCTATTTTCTCAGTGGCGTATATGGTTATGTCTAGCCTGTGTCGACACTGTTCGTGCTTTGTACCTCATCTTCGGTCACAAGCTCTCCCTCCTGACCTGACGCCAGCCAACGTGTCTCGGTCGGATCATCTTTGGATCATCCGGTATGTCTTTCACTTGACATATCCCAGCCACATGCACCGGTTCCATTTACCACCCATATTGGTTGTCTGCCCTCTTCTAGCTTGTTCGAGGTATAGAGCCTCAAAAGTACTACCCAAGTTGTGGAGACCTACGCATGGACGAGAAGAATACCTGTGACTGTTCTGGATGTCGACTTGCGAAAGAACACAAAAAGCTGAGTACGATATTTACGTTGCAAATAGCATAATCATCGCAAATAGAGAAGAGAGAAGTCGAGCTTGAGCTATTCATGTATGCTGGCCTAATCTTGTTTGTGCAAAATATCATCGCGATTCACCTCATTCCGAGTTTTATTGTATTATTCGAACCTGCACTACACTTTAAGGACTCAAAAAACTGAATGGCGTGAAAATTCCAAGGTTAAGTTAAGGTTAAGTTGGCGATCGAACGAAGCCGTGAAGCGGCTTCGTTCGATCGGTGGGCTGGAGGCTTGATGAAGGAGATACCAGACTGCCCTCAATGGAGGTAGACGAGCAGTTTCCGATTTTATTCCTCATCAGTGGTATCTTCAGAGGTTTATATATGCAAACTGGTGGGAGTAGTGGCACTTTAAATCGCATACTCCGACGGAGTCCTATCAAGGACAAGTCCGGAACTTACACACATCACCGATCACAAGACCAGTTCATTTACTACTTGGGCAAGAACCGCTGAGATGGGAGCTGAGATAGGGCAAAATTTAGACTGGGGTAACCGGGCCGGTAGATCTAGACCGCTGCATCACATCGTTCTTTCGCCTAGAGGTGCTATACTTGAACAAGGGATAACCAATTGCCGAGTCAGCAGTGATTACATGACTCATTCATGCTTAGGGTTTGGGGCCCACAGGTAAAGATAACCCGGCATGTGTTCTGAAGCCGCATTAAAGCCGACTGTGCTTATCAGCCAATCATCAAACCACAAATACAATTGTACCACTTTCTAGACCTGCTCTATCTCCCTCCCGGTCCGACACGAATGCCGGGGGGCAGATAACGGTTACTTCCGGATAAAGATGTCATGACAATCACGTCAGCAGACCATAATAGAGTTTAGACTCAGTGACTCCGCCTTAGGGATGATGTCGTTTCATCATTAAGGTCCGGTAGGAAAGGTCCCAGACCATACTGAAGAGTAAGAAAGGTTAACATTAGAGTAAAGTACGAAGTCAGAAAGACCTCAAAGTACAGGGCACAAAAGGCGTCCCCGTAGGGGCGCCGTAGCGACCAAGGCATTTAAGCAGCTCTGCTATCAATAGCGAGTGAACATACATTTGTTAGACGTGGCGACATAGCAAAAGCTCATAGCACCACCCGTTTGTGGACAGCCGAAGCCGCCCAACGGGTACCACAGTTTAACCTAGCTATTAGGTTCTTCAATTACGACTCGTACTCGAAGGTTCAGACGGTTCAGACAGGCGGTTCAAACTGTAGAACCCTCTCCCAGGTTCAGACAGTTCACATGGGCAAGGTTCAGACAGTTCAGACAGTTCAGACTGGCAAGGTTTAGATGGTTCAGACAGTCAGTTCAGACTGTGGGATCCTCTCCGAGGAGCCTCACACAGTTCACATGGGCAAGGTTTAGACGGTTAAAGCAGTCGGTTCAAACTGTGGAACCCTCTCCAAGGAGGTTCGGACAGGTCAGACACACAAGGGTTCAGACCTCTAAGGGTGTTCAGGCGGTTCAGATGGGCATTTTAGAACATTACTCCCATGTTTATTTGCTGTTCCTTTGTCATTTTGAGCATAACATGCCATAGAAAATACAAACATGCATTTCCTCGGAGGTACCAATTGGTTTGACTTTACCGCTTATTCCTATTCCGGTGTTCAGCCGTTGATTGTAATTTCAAGTTATGTTTCTTTGCCAGTTCAGTCCGAAGATGCGGTACAGGCATTTATGTCAATGGCTATTGAGTCACAATGTATTTACAATTAAAGTCATGAAACCAGTATCCCTATCAAGTACTTAATTTTTTCTTTCGGATTTTACTTAAATCCCAGAGCGTCTCTGCCACCACAAGAGACATCTCAGTGCACTTAACTTGTGTCGCAAGCAGTTCTTGGAGGTCCATTCTGTCTATCTCCTCCTTGGATGGTGGGGCCCACGAATCTAATAAAGGTTGAAGTACGCTATACATGGCATGCCCAGAAGAGCAACCTTACCTTTGGTCCACTGATGCTTTAACAGTGCTTTTCGAGTCTCCAAGGACCTCCAGTAGCAGCGCGCCCATTTCCTTTGACATGGTATACAGACGTTCCCCGCGGATTGTCGACTTCCTTCACACAGCACAGTGGCCCCTCTTTCTTCACATTGTTGAGGCATTCCGCACAGCGTATTACCTATATCGCAAGTCAATTCACTCAGTACGTTACACAAGTGACCACTCATATAAGGAATTGGTTTCGATTTCTTCTTCGGCGTGGTGGTGTCCTTGAAGGGGGTTTCCTTGGCCTTTCCTTTTCCCTTTGAGGGACTTGGGACATTCTGTGTGTACCTTTTTTTTGTGATCACCACTTCTACTTGTCTATATCTCGGCTTGATCCTCTTCGGCTCCTTCTCCCTTTCCTTCCCCTTTGACAAGACTTTCCTGGCCGGGATCCGGATCCGAGGAGGACCAATCTTTGTCTGTTGCATGTTTAGGTTAAATAAACTTTACCCGACAGCTAATTTCACTTACCATTGGTGTCTGTGGTATTTGACCGGGACTCTGTCGTTGTAGTATTCTCGGTCAGCTTTAAAGGCACTTGTGGCAACTCGTCTTGACTAACCTGATATTTCGCCGTCGGAGGGACCTCTTCCTCCATGTCATTCTCCTCCTCTTCATCTATGGCATTGTCCTCTTTTGTTTCCATTTCCCAGACATACTTAACCTTCTCCATAAAGATGTTGTAGAGAGGCATCTCACGGACCTTTGGTATGAGAACCTTAGCTTTATTGAACTCCTGTGACAGCAAGCTCTACAAAAGAAGGTTAGTAAATAAATGCCCAGCGTGATTTTCCGCTCACCTCTTGTTGCCAAAACAGTGCTTTTGCCTCGACATCGCTCGGCTTATTTTTTACTGCTTCCATGGTGGCGTCAAACAGGATTGACCTGATAGTTTTGACAATGTCGGAAAGTTGTTTCTGTGATGCGGAGTTCATGGTAGTTTTGTTGAAGTGACAGCGAGTAAACCCTTGTCCCGTGGAAGCTTGTTTGTCGATTGGAATTGGCCGGCGGCTGTCAAATAGTAGTCTTTCCTATTGATCAAATATCAAAAATGGTCTGCTGATAACAATCTTCCATTTTTGGTCTCACATGCCACCTAAACTCCGGGGAGACTGTAAGCCGGTCATCTGAGGATCATAACTTATTTATTTTTACTTTCAGAACACTTCTATATCACACGTGGTTCCAAATAAACCACTATTGTGATGAACATATCAAAAATTAAATGAAACATCCTCTATGTAGTAAACAGCAATCTGACGATGACTTGGTCTCCCAAATCATCAATGATCCAGTTTGACAATTTCTCTGGTAATGCAACAATCTTAGTCAAGTTCCTTTCTCCAAAGGTTGGTCCTCGCTCCATGGAGGAAAAATACCTTTTCAGTCTCCTAGCACAGCCAAAGTTGACACCATGTTTTCCGAGAAGTTGTACACTGGTACCCCAGCATTTGCCACCTGGTGCATTGGGAGTCATTCAAAGGCTCACGTAGCAAATATTTTAGCAAACATCTCAATGCTGATTAAAGTCCATTCCTCTCTGAGGAGTTTACATACAACATTGGGCACTTCTCAAACATTTTGTATAACATCATGGTTGCATCCATTTGCTGTGTGATATTCATACCCCTCGGAGCACTTTATGTTCTTGCTCAACGTCCTAGTATAAGCTAACCTATATCTTGCTTTTTGACTATGGAACTTGACATGCCATGGGTCCATGAGTGGCTTTCCGTTCCATTCCATCTTGTTGTCCTCTTCTGTGTGGAGCGATGGATTTCCTATCCATACGGTTAAGGTGGGTTGGGCGACTGAACACAATTATAATGATATCAGTATTGCCTGAACCAAAGATTATTGGTCACCCGCTGATTCAATTGTCACTCCTATGCAGGCACTTGCAAATGTTGAGTCTAGGTCCTGGGCTAGTGGGGAGTTGGGAGTTGAGTCAATATAGTCATTGTCGGAATATCATCCTGGACATATACTGTTAGCTTAACATCCCATGTCCTATCTTGTATAGATGTTTTCCAGAGAACACCAAAATGGGGTTTTTTTGTCCGTAACTTGTTATCGTTTCATTTTTCAGACAACTCCACTTGTTCTAAAATCTTCATTCCTCAGGTGAGTGTATCATTTATCCCCATTATTTGAAACAAGGGGTCCTTGGATATTTGCTTATTCTACATGAGAAGCCTTATTGATCAACAACATTTCCCTTGCTCTAATGTTGCCATCGTAATTGGCTATTAACTTCACAAGATCTCTCCTCTTTGTGCTCCACACAGAGTAGGCCTCTTCGTATTCCTTCGAGAGTGTTTCAATTGCTTCCCTGTTCCGACTCATTCTCTCTTTCCACTCTCCCAATTTTTGAGTCCGAGGTTCCCTGGACTCCGGGAAAAGAAAGATCGGTTGGCAATGATAGTACCAAAGGACTGTAAGGAGCGTCTGGCAAGGCAGTGAGATGATGCACAGAGGAACTTGTTGTCTCCCTTGCAATAGAGTGCAAAGTTACAAGGGGTGAGTTGAAGCCTTGATGGGAGAGCGCTGGGGAGAATGATTTGTGAGGAGTTGACTGAGGACATTATTAGGTGGCCAGCTGACATCAAGTTTGTAGATGAAGATTTACCACATTTTATCACAACACAATGGGATCCGCACCCGTGTACAGTGATTCTGGACCTTCTGGGCATGCAACCAATCAGTATGCTTTCCAAGTACGCCTTGGTAGCTTAGTTGGTAAAGCACCAGACCATGAAAGCTGGAGTCCCAGGTTCAAGCCCTGGCCAATGCATGCTTTCTCATACTATAAACAAATGTCATAATTTGTCACATTTCTCCTAGGACCACTTGTGGATTCAACCCCCCTACCAACCACCTCACCCCTGCCCTTGTCGACTGTACTGTCTTCAATAATCCCTAGGAGGTAAAGTTCTGAATCTGATCGCAGATCTTGTAAACCACACAAGTCTTTGACTTACCATGGTTTGCCACATAATTCAGGTCAGTGGACTCCTTGGAGGATGTTTTACCTGACGGTCTGTGCAAAACATTTTTCCTCCCGGACTGTTTTGTGAGTTTCCGAGGAGACACCTTTGGCTTCACGACTTGTCTTAAAGCCTCTTGTGATGCAAAAAAGGCTTCAATTTCCTCCATCGGTAGATCATCCTTCGTTGTAGTGACTTCCATGTTTTTGTCACTGTCTTTGTTGGAAAGGATTATTTGTGAGGTCATGTATTTTCTGCAATGCATCTCTTGTAGGACTGTATATGTCTTCCAAACTCGTTAAATACCCATTCATATATCTTGAAAATAGTATAACTGAGCCAATTCATTTTCACATGAATGCACCTACCCTAAACATTGTTGCTCCAGTTACAATGACAAGTTGAGGTTGGTGAACTGAACTCCTCACAGTTAGTTATGTTACAATACAAACAAAGTAAATTAGCAGGTTAATCAATGAGTCGTTAAATGTGCAATTGTTTTTCCCTCTCCATGAGTCCATAATACATCAACACTGCCTTGGTCCTGAACTGCAGTATTGTCCATCTCTTGTACTCTAGTTCAGCCCATTGGTTTCCACTCAAAACGTAATGATCTAATTTATGCTCATTCAAAGCCTCCCAAGCCTGTCATAGTTGAAGTTTTTCATCGGAATGCTCCTTGGAGTCTTTTTCACTTGCGTTTGTTGGACTGTCTTCAGAGAGTGGTACAGGCATATGATCTGTGTGATGTTGGTTTCAGGAACACAGGTAAAGAAAGACTTCCCCCTTTACTGACCTTCCTGGCTCCTTTCTGCCCATCTCAGAGATTCTGAGATTGCGTTAAGAACCCAAATTCCTTCATTACATTGAACATAATCACTTGCTGTCACCTCTTCCTGCATGCCAACAGATGAGTTAGTAGTAGAGCCATGATCTTTTATCCTTCGAATGGAATACCCACCAGCAAGGAACAAAATTTTTCCGTATATTTGATGTAGCGGACACCACCCCTGTACTCATGCTCTTCCGGAACAACATTATCTTTGTAGAGCTTCTCCAAGGCTCTACTAAACTTTCTGGCTTGGTGTTTGGCTTCTGTCAGTGCCATTGGTTGCAGTCCAAATCATGATTGAGCTTTGTAGAATATGTTGTGTAGTCACGTGCTCGACACAGCATCATGGGAACATTCAAGTAGCCGCTCTGACTGGGTAGTCACCATTTTGCCATGTCTGATACGTCCACCTACTTGAATTGCCTGAGCGAGTTTGATTTTGCGTCAGTAGTAACCAGGGTGAAATTCGATCCGACTGACATTGAGATTTTGAGGGATTTTGGGAAGCAAGGGAGTCATATCTGACGGCCATATTTCATAGTCAATGACAGCTTCATACTTAGCATTATGGTCTAATGCTTTATGACCATCTGCAAGGCATTCCAGGCGTACACGGCTCCCCGGAGCACGAACAATTTTTGGGACAAATAATGGAAGTCATTGATTTCTTATTGGCATCAGGAGTACAATAGTCCTACAACACAAAAGTGTGCTATCTTTGCAGTCGGGCCGGCAAACACTGCCTATGGGATGGGGAGATTCAAACATATGTATCAAGGAACATTCCACATCAAGCATCCTTGGACCTTGACTCTGAAATCGCAAAACTTGACCTCAAACGACTTGCGATATTGCAGTTGTTGTCAGATCTCAACAAACGCTTGGAAGCCATGCAGCGCAACCAGTAGCTGCCAATCCTTCCATTGTAATTTAGCGTGGTAATTCAGTTGTTTTTTAGTACAGTGCTCGTAACAGACTTTAGCATCGTTCCGTTGACTCTGCAAGATCTGTTGCACACAGCGGTCTGCAACCCGCAATCCGCTGACCTTGATCCGCAATCAGGCAATCCATTCTCACGGCACAGAACTCAGAAAGCTACAGGACAGGAAGAGCAATACTTGCACCAGAGTCCCTACTATGTATACTGAAATGCGCTGCTTGCTTGAGCATAATAGCTCCTAGGAGTACAATGATCTCCTGGGAGAATCATGGCAATTTGATAATATATAGTAGATGACTGAGGCCGCCACTGCAACTTTGGCCACGTGTTTGCCACGGTCCAATATGAGATGAGCTAGGGTTGACACTATAAGCATTTGCCTAAATGCCGCTCTCTGTACCAGAACGACAAGCTAGACGATTTCAAAAAACGTTGGAAAAACTGTACGGAGGACGCATTGACCCAACTAATAGATGTAGAGGATGAAAACTCATGATGTACATTGAAAAATTATGGGAATTGCTAGTAAGTGGGCGCTAAAAATAATTGACCATCAGCTCATAAAGTATGACTTGGTAAGGATGAGGTTAACACAAGTCAATGCGTGGAGTGCGTCCACGGAGTGAATATTGTCAACAATATTGCGGAGTCCATTGCATGGGCGGTGTCATGCACCAAAGTTGATTGGTAGCATGGACAGGTGTCAATAATGAAGCAAATATTCAAAAAGACTCGCCTTTGCGCCACACAGGCACAGTGCCAAGTGGAATAGTAATTAATATTGCCTTCTTTGAACTTGTGGCTGATCAGCACCACCTCTATTAGGCAATCCAGTCACGCTCACCTTTGCTTTTCCATTCGGTACTTTCCGCGTTTTGGCATTTTGGCATTTTGGCAAATTTTTGCGTTGCCACTGGCTACACATTGCATTACGCCCTCGCTTTTGTTGTTTCCTTCACTTCCCTTCCTTTGCCTAGCCCCACCATGGGTCCCTTACTCTCGTTTTTATTCTCACCCGACGGTCGTTTCTGGATCCCCATTTTAGTTCACCTCCTCGTCTTCTTTGCTCCCTCACCATTTCTGATGTCACCACTTCCTATCCGCTTCCGTCGCCGATCCGTCAACTACCATGTGCCACTGCTGATATCAGCAAAGCCCCGGCGGCCAGTTCAAATAGGGCAACAGGTCCATCTTTATGACGTCGATCTACCATCATATACTATCAAAACATTGGTCACTCGTCTTGCCTGGTTGGAGCGTGGGTGGGTAGTTTTTGAGCTGGAGAAGGTTCATCCCCTTGCGTTGCCCATGTTCATTGCTGTCCCATTCACTTGGGTACACTTATCTTTTGTCCATCGTCTTCACTACAGCTACACCTACCACACGCTGCCTGGGACTCACTTGCTCTCCCTCCCTTGTTTGATCAGGTGGTCCAACACAACCAGTCCATTGGTGGTGGACCGGTGGCTCCAGTTTCTTTTTTTTCAGCAGAACATTCATTTACAGTGCAACCCCTATACCTAATAAATCCGGCTCTCCCAAGGAGGTCCATATATAGCACTGATGTCTATTCCGTGGAGTTCCGTCTAACCTCCTGATGACATGATTTGGAGGTTTAGGGTTGGCTTTTCAACTGACTGCGGTGTTTCAAAACCTTATCCCAGTGGGTGTCCCTATTTTCCCAAATATTATCTTAGGGGATGTTTCCTGCAAAGTGTCCTCATCATTCATACACTAAGTCAACAATGTCACACTGTCATCGTAACAAAGGCAAGTATCACTCTGTGGATCTCCAATTGCACTCAAACATAGCTTTAGAAATGGTCAAATCAAAACCTCATTCGAAGAACGCTGAGATTGTGCAATCCAGCACTGGGGAACTACACAACGACAACATGGAAGTGGACAACAATGGCGAGCTCTCAATGACTTCATGGCAGCCTTTTTTGGCTCAGCCATGTCCTTATAAAACACATCCCCTCAGAAATTGCCTCCCCGGAAGAAGAATAGGAGATTGGCGGGCCCAAGCAAACCCCAAGCAGGAGAGGAGGATATGTCAGTGCCCGACATAACTCTCTCAGAGTTTTTCCCTTGGCTAAACCCAACGGGACTTTGTGAGTTTTTATGTTATATTCTTTGGCTTTGTGATGTTAACAATCATTTCCAACTACAACCGAGTAGGCAGCGAGAGCACGGAACATCCTCATGAAGAGTCGCCGTCCAACAACAATAACCAGGTAACAAATTGTAGACACAGTGGCAGTGAAAAAGGTAAACAGAGAGAAGGCGAGGAGGAAAAAGGAGATCAATACAGAGGAAAGAATTGCGAAGCTCCTTGGGACAATGCTGACACAACAGTCGAGGACAACAACCAAGTTCCCGAGGTCAGTGATCATTTGCCTTCTACTCCTGTTCCTGCGGTCATCACTCCAATCGCCACTCCTATCCCCGCTGTCACCACTCTGACCCTCACTTCCGTCCTTGCTGTCACCACTCCCAGCTGTCCGCTCACTCCTACTCCTGTTTCCTGCTCTCCCTTGTTCACCTCTCCCTCTCCTACGCACTCAATTCTGAGCGTTCGAGCCCTCAATATGACTCCGGGCCCAAGTCATCAACAGTTCCCCAATACGACAGCCTCTCCTCTGAGTACTGGGGGTTCAGGCCAAACATTTGAATGAGGTCCTCCTGACCCAAGATACGTGAGTAACACCCCTCTTCCTCTGCCACCCACCGCAGGATTGTACCCAATTTTTGTAAATATGTAAGGGTAAGTGCTATACAGCAAAACAAAAAAGTGGGGTAAAGTTGAACAACAAGCTGTAAAAAGAGAAGATTGAGATCACCATTTCAATCTTCCCTTTTTGTGCCTTCACCACATACCCTTTTTATGCCACAAAAACTTCAGACAATGTATTTTTCACTTGACTTTTCTATGCATATATTTTGCTCATTTTGACTCCCACAATTATGGATGTGGTTGATAATATACCCAGGGATGGTGTGGCAATGACTTGCCATGTATGGATGATTTGACATCTCTGATGGTTCTTGTCCCACAAGGTCATATCCCATGAGGTCTTTTACCACTAGGTTTTGCCCCACTATGCTTTGGTTTTATCCCACAAGGTCTTGTCCTGCAAGGTCTGTTCCCACTGTGTCATGACCCACAAGGTCTTTCCCATTAGGCCTTGTCCCACTAGGTTATGCTCTTATTCAACTAGGTTTTGTCCCACTGGGTCATGGTTTTATCCCACTATATCATATCTATTCTCCTATTTTGTGTCCCTCAGATATACTATATAGATTACTATTTACAGCATTATATCCATCTTGATCCATACAGTGGAGATTTAAATATATTTACCACAACCTTGGCTCAAAAGCTCAATTTGTTGAAAGCTCTTTGTAAACTAGCAACTCTAGTATGGCCAGAAATTATCACAAGTACTATAAGACCCATCCACATTTTGGACACTACACTTGGTTAAGCCTGAGAAAAATTTCTTACATTTATTTACTGCCAGAAAAGCTGTTGGGGTAGCTGGAAGGAATGAATTATTTGTAACTAAGCAGAATTAATTAGGGGTTATGGGAAAATAATGTATTCCACATATAGTTGTGGCTAAGTATCCTCATGTATAGATATATGTAAATTTATGTGATCAGCTATATCAACAGTACAACTTTGTGCCATATAACCAATATATCTGTAATTTCAGCAAAAATTGTTGTAGCTTTTTTTGTTACAACAGCCAAAGATTAATACTATATTACTTCCAACACTAATCTAGTTTTCTTTATATGGCTGCAAAACCATCTGAGTCATCATATGAGCAGTCAATGTATCATCTCATCTGTATTGAAATCTTTACAATGTAATAACTTACAAATAACTTTTCCACAATCATGTCCTACAAATAAATCTGTTCTATTATTTACAAACTCAACAGCTTCATATGCCACATATGGTCAAAATAAATTAAGACTTACTGCTCTATGAATGATTTGTGTGTAGTTTATGATGTAAACAAGGTCATTTCAGCAGGTGATACCACTTTAGTTAACTAGAATAGTGGAATATAAGAGTATTTTTAGTGGATTTGATGAATTAAATCTTGGTGTTTGATATTTAACAAGAATTCAGGCTTTGGTTGTTCTAAATGCAGAGTGTAAATAGTATGTCCAAGCCACCTGTATCAGAATTTTATTATCATCTCCTGATTCAAAGTTGCTATGAGAGGGCACAGTATGGAAAATTGTTAAAAAATTTCTGGCATTGCTATAGAAGGATGAATCTGCTTTGGCCATCTGTATTGACACAATATTACCTATATTTTACAACTAATTCTTATGTTGGTTGATTCATAACTCCATTCTTGATGTAACTATACTCACTTCATCACTTTATCGGGCAATGGAAATAGTATAAAGTGGACCATAAGATAAAAAACACCAACAAAAAAAGCTGATTAATTATTACATTAGTTAGGAATGTGCCCTGGTTTTGATATCACATGTTACCATATGAAGACCCCAACTGTCACGATCGTATCCACATGACTCATCTTTTTTATCTAATCGCGAGATAGAGACCATTATCTCACCTAATCTAATCTCTCTTTGATCTTATCTTATCTAGTAATCACGTGACACATTAGTAATACTCATTACCAATCAGCCTCACGCATTACACATGTTACTTACCAATACGCTACATCATACCTCACCGTAGCCTCATGCCTTCTTCTATATAACTAGCACGATATCCATGTACATACCCCAGTTGTAGATTTACTCTTATACTTGCTTGTCAGACACTTGTTGTGTGATTTAAGTCCTACGCTGCTCGGGTTACCGGCATAACAGCTAGGGTCTTTACATAATCTACAACTTTGAACGACACCTGTTGATGAGCAAAAGCACAGCTATCTTAATCATCACCCTATTCCCTCTCATCGCAATCATACTCTTTGGCATTGCCAAACTCTACGTCTATATCACTAAACCAACCATCATCACACCTATCACCCGACCATCCACCATTGCTTCATTTTTTCCTGCCAATGTCTCACCCACAGAGTCGTTTGTCGATATCCCCCTCACTCCCCCTTCCAACCCTTTAGCTAGAACCCTTGACGGCGTGGAGCCCGATAGGTATTACTTAGTTTAGAAGAGCTTCTTTACCCTTCTGACCAGGCCGCTCACTTGAGTCCGCCAGTTGGAAAAGACCTGCACGCGGTTATTCGCTGGGTATCACTGAGACAACCGTTTGGACCTCAGTTACTATACTTTAGAACACCGATATATCAAAGTAGAATTAGTTACGTACATAGTCAGTGCGGGACAGAAGAGGAACCGCTTGACTAAAGAAGGAAACAGATAGACCAGTTGATCTTACATTAGAAAGTGTTGATCCGACTTATCATCGGGGAACTCTTTTGTATGCAACCTGGGAAATTCGAAGAGTGGCTAGCAGAAGAACGCTTTCACTCCGAGAACAGATTAGCTTGGGAAATTTACTTCACATTCCCAGAAATAGAACCAATCAGAACCCGATACCACACCCCCTACCCAGATCATGACGACAGAAGTGTACGGAGAATGGCGAGGTCCGCGCGAAGAGCCGGACACACCAGAGATAGGAATGGGAGAATTGTCAGGTGCACTCCCACCTTTGGAACCACAAGCACCAACATCGAGGGAAGCTGGACTGGAACAGTACGTTCAGACCAGAATAGAACAGGAGCAGAGATGGCTCCACGACCTTTACGAAACACAGCTGAAAGAGGCGAAAGAAGAAGTCGAAGAATTGCTAGCCAAGCTGAGGTTAGCTACGTCGAATTCTTCTACGTCCGCTCCCGCCGCATCCGCACCAACGCCACCAAGTACGCAGCCGAGACGCGTAGATAGAACGAGAACGGCGCTCCAGAAGCCTGAGAACTTCGATGGAGACCGAAAGAAGTACAAGGCTTTCCGCGAGGCCTTAATGCTAAACTACGAGGATGATGAGGAGTATTTCGCGGATGACAAGAGAAAGATCGCCTATGTGCTTTCTTTTATGACAGGAGGAGCAGCGGCTGCCTTCAGAACGGAGTGGATGGAGACAAAGATAGAAAAGAGGATGCGAGGAGAAAACCTCAAATCCACTTACGAAAGTTTTGAGTGGTTCGCCCACAAGATGGAGACTCGGTTCAAAAATGTTCACGAGCAACTCGCCGCCCGCAATGACATTATGATCTTGCGCCAAGGGAAGAACACGGCAGAGAAGCACTTCGAACATTTCGAAGAACTGAGAAGAGAGGCTAACTACCTCCAAGCAGCCAATGAGGACTTCCTCATTTCGCTCTTACGTAGAAACATGAATGAACCCCTGGTCAATCAGGTGATATACGGCGGCCGAGAGCCAGCCAACTACGAAGAGTGGAAAAAGGAGTTGATTCGCATTGACTACTTATGGCGCCACAGAGAGGCGGAGAAGGAGAGCTTCAGAAGCACGGAGAAAAAAAAGCAAGACGGAGGAGGAAAGACCGAACCAAAGGTCGAAAGAAAGAAGGACGGTAGCGGATACCTTTATACCCAAACCGGTGACCCGATGAAGGTCGATAAAGCGGAGTACCGACAGAAAGGGCTCTGTTACCGGTGCGGAGAAAAAGGACACCGATCCTTCGAATGCAAGAAAGAAGCGCACGCAAAACCCCAATTCAATGTTAGGGAGGTCTTGCAAAACATGAGTGCGGAAGAAAGAGCAAAGATCCTTCAGGGTTTTTGAAGAGGCCAGCGGTAACACATCAACCGACTGTGCCTAAAGACAATAGTTTCCATAATAGTTTCTCTTCTTTGTCGATCGAAGACTCCTGTTCGCCGTCTGCTGTATATTATACCGATCATGAAAATGAAATCGCATTAGCCAAAGACGCAGCAGATCTAAGATCAAAAGAAAAAGAAACTAAAAAAGATGTGAACCTGAATAGGGAACGGGTTAAAAAGATCCCAAACAAAGAGATTACGGCGCACTCAAAAGAGGAAAGCGCAGTAACTAAAAAAGAATTTGTGAAGGAAGTGACTCAATCGGGCAGCACTTCATTGGAAACAACAGAACCACAGAAAGCAGTGACTCAATTGGGAAGCACTGATGTAACTGATGGTTCGACCAGTTCCAAAGAGGTCAGGAACACCTCTAATAAAAACCTAGACCACAAAGAAAGAAAGAAACTGACAGCGGCATGGACACCACTTTGGGTTGCTGAAAGATTACGAGACCAAAAGGAAGACAGATCCATTGGTATTCTCAACATCTGGACGCACCAAAAGAGAAGCAGAGAAGTCACAATAGAGACAATACAAGAGTTAAATGCATTGACGCTACACGATGCTGAACTCGCTCTATTAGAGTTACACACCCCAAAGAAATATATTAGGGGAACGCAAGGAAATCAGATGAACATTACTTGCAAACTCACAACTCTTGACACAAACCGATCAACGACGATCGAAGCTCTCTTAGATAGTGGATGCACAGGGAGCTGTATAGATTCAATGTTCGTAAAAGAACAAGGTTATGAAACAAAGAAGATACCGAGACCCATTCCAGTTTATAACGCTGATGGCACACTTAACAAAGATGGTGCTATCAAAGAATTTATAGAATTACGATTGAGCATAGAAGACCACGAAGAGA